GGCAGGTGAGAATTCTACCACTGAACCACCCATGCACTAGCTGTACTGGTTACCTGGTCTGACACTGCCATAGACAGTCTCCTGAGCAGTCTGGGCTTGTCTGGGACGGCCCCGGCTGCAGCAGCTGTTCTTTGCGATGAAGATCCAGTGTCCCGAAGGTGTCTGAGGCAGAAGCCGGCAGGAAATAGAGTACCAGAAAACCTCATACAGACTGGCTGTTTCTGATGGTCTGGTGTTACGCCAACCATATAGACCAGCCTTTCTAGAGGTTCGGGGAGACCAGCCCTCAGGGAAGTTTATTTGATTGGTGGGGTGAAGGAGAACAGCAAGGAAGAGGTTAAAAATGGTCAAGGATGAGGTCTGGACATTTCTTGAAAACAAGAATGTTGCGCTTGGCAGAACACTGCCAAGGTCATAGATCAGAGAACAACATAAGTCTAAGTCATGGTACTGCAAGACATTGGATGTCTATTTAATGTTAAACATAATCACTGGCTGACTAACATTCTTGGAAATTGTTAAAATCTATAGATTGTGTGAGAAACTAATATACTGTTTGTAGCCTACTAACTTTAAAGTTGAACCTGTTGAATGTGCTTTGTTCTTTGTGAAACTAATTCTTTATGTATCCTGGCAGAAACACCAAGCTTGTGACTGTAGTTTTGAGAGTATAAAAAAAGCACTGCTAAAGAATTAACCTCCTCTTCCCCACCTAAGGGTTGAGTCCTTTGCCTTCACACATTTTGCCCTCCACTAGCAGATCCCAGTCTCTTCAGTTGGGTGGGTGATCTCATTTTCTTTTCATGTTTCTTTGTAGTAATTCACAGTTCATTTTAGACACAGAACAAAGCCAGGAAATTTGGCTATGCAGATTTAGATCTGATTTAAGTTAACAGAATCCTTCTGCAGGAGCTTGCTCTCTGGGGAACTGTGCCTTTCTTTTGTTAGGTTTCAGCCTTGTCCTCCAAGCTTTCTACCCACCCTCCAATTCCTATGAATTGTTTAGGATCCTCTTTATAATTCTGTATTTCATACTTTTAAATTTCTAAAATCTAGCAGGTATTTATTTCTTCCAACACTTTTTTTTTTTGTCTTTTTGAGACAGGGTCTCCCTGTAGCCCCAGCTGTCCTGGAACTCACTATGTAGACCAGGTTGGCCTTGAACTCACAGAGATTTGCCTGCCTCTGCCTCCCGAGTGCCGGGATTAAAGGCGTGTGCCACCACGCCTGGCTCTTCCAACACATTTTAATTTAGACTGAACCCATTTTAAGTATTTGATGCCTGGTGGCTACTTTCTACTGGATATCAGGGTATGAAGATTTAGAATGCTACTAATTCTCCCAAAGAGGTCAAGCAAGATCAACCTTGTACAGGGGACTAAAACCTCAAATTACCCTGTACTTCTAACCCCAACTTACTTTATCAGGTTCAAAATAGGTCATATGTTTTAGTAAAATGAGTAGTGTCTGGGCCATTTTAGCTCCAATCATTGGGTCAACTCATTCAGAATTTACACCAGCTTTCACCTACTCTCTGGTAAACTGGACCAAGAGGGAACCCTCGGTCACCACTCTTTTGGCATAGCAATGCTCATTACATGCCTGGTATTATGTATTTTCATCTATTGCTGTATCTTTGTCCATGTTTATGTTAATCAAGACAGGAAACAACCAGTTTCTTATTCCCAGTCTCTCCATTCTTATTTCTCCTACCATCAAATCTCCATAGGCTCTGCACAGTGCTCTCTAAAGCAGCATAAGAATCATACAAGAATCATCAATGTAGTCCATTAATCCTGAAGAGATAATAAGAAATTCCCTATTACATCATCTGTATTACCACTTCTATTAATTACCACAGGTAGTCTGTCAAGAAATCTGTCTTATCTGGTAGTTCTATATTGCCTGTAATTTTTAATATTATTTAATGTAATTTATTTATTTATTTGTCTTTTTGAGACAGGGTCTCTCTGTACCACCAGCTGGTCTGGAACTCACTATGTAGACCAGACCAAGCTGGCCTCAAACTCACAGAGATCCTCCTGCCTCTGCCTGTGCCTCCCCAGTGCTGGGATTAAAGGCATATGCCACCACTCCTGGCTTTATTGCCTGTAATTTAATGCATCTCATGTCCTCCACACTCCTAATCTTACACAAGTACCTATCATCTCCTTCCCAGACTGCCCGAACCAGACAGCCGAGATGAACAGCACCTGAAAGGGGGGCGTGAGGATGAAAGAAAAGAGACAGAGAAAAGATACTTGGGAGGACTGTCAGTAGAGACTGCAGCCCCGGTTTATTTTAGCTCAGCCATCTTATACAGCAGAACATCAGATAGCCACAGTTTGCTTAGCTCAGTTAGCTTCAACAGTTCTTCTTTCCCACCTTTATCTGAGGGTCAAGGAACGGTGAAATACTTGTAGTGAATTCCACCAATTAACCATCTTCCCTAAATTATTATTACATTCCTCCTGACTTGGCAGAACAATTCGGTATTTGTGTGTAAAACACATAAACTCTTGAGTCAAGGTGAAAGGTCATAAAGTAAATAAGCAAGCCTGCCACAGCTCAGTGTGCATAATGGCTGTGCTTATATTAATAGCTCCCAACATCTCCCCTTTTTTTTATTTTTTATAACCCCAGATCATGCTACATCCAGGACAGAAGGACCGTACCTGTCTTGGGTTGTCTTCTGCTAGAGCAAAGCCTTACCCGTCATCGGCACGGCACGTAGCTTCCATCAGCTATGCCCTGTCTTAGGTTGACTTTCTCCCAGAAGACCTTACCCGTCTTTGACTACCGGCCTCTGTTAGGGGAGGGAACACAATCTCATATCATGTACAGTAGCCTTGACTAGCCACAAAGATTTCATAAATAACTTTACTGCCACTGGAATGAAACAAAGACATAGGAGGAAAAGCATGCCAAGTCCCACTAAACCACTCACAATGGAAGTGATGGAAGACCATGATGGTAAGGTGGCTCTCAGCCTATTTAGAATATCTGTCGCTGCTTACAGGGTGGAAATGCTTGGGGAGAAATTTTTTTTTATACTCTATTTAATCTCTTGGCAGTAGCACTTTGGCATTGGTACAGCATCCACCTCGTCCCACAAGCACATGGTCATCTACTTGTACACACCCAGATTTATTGTCATTTTTAACAAAACAAATAGGCAACCCACTTCCTGATCCTGAATAATTAAAATTCGTCGCCACTTGCATCATCAGGTGTTTTGAAGCAGGCTGAGCAATTAACCAAGAGTCATTCACAGTCACTACTATCTCTTTTTCTTCCCATATTACGGGCTTCAATATTGGTGGATCAGGAACATAAGTCTAGTATAACTCAGCCAAGATCACTTGTGGGAACATCATCATCAGCCACGTTTGTCACCTCATCATTCTTTTCCACTTCTTTTTCTGGCACTTGTCCGGCGAACCTCACCAGCCTTTCTGGCAACCACCTGGCTCCATCTGCATCTTGCGGGAAAACACAAACATGCCCTCGTCCCCATATCAATACAGGGTCAGGGCCATTCCATTGTCCAGTTAAAGGATCCTTCCACCTGGCTTGGGCATAAATATCCTGTGACTGAGGATGCCACATTCTATCTGCTGCAGAGCAGTCATTTTTGCCCAAATTCAAAAAACTTAAAATGAAAAGAGTATGATGTAAAAGATTACTTGGTGTCTGGGGATATAACTCCCCCTTTTATCATTTTTTTGTAATTATGCTTTTAAAGCACCATGAGCTCTTTCCACTATAACTTGTCCTTGTGGGTTATATGGTATCCCAGTTTTATGCTCAATGGCCAATTGCAAGCAGAAATGCTGGAACCCCTGACTGGTGTAGCCAGAGCCATTATCCATTTTTATAATGCTAGGGATCCCAGCTATGGAAAAGCAAGTTAAATAATGAGTTATAACACTTTTTGTGGCTTCCCCTGTTTGCGCAGTAGCCATAATAAAGCCAGAAAAATGTATCTATTGTAACATGTACATACTGTTGCCTGCCAAAGTCTGCAACATGAGTAATGTCCATTTGCCACAACTGGTTAGGCTTCAGCCTTCTAGGATTAACCCCATAATGAGGAACAATTTGTGTTTGAGGACAAGATGAGCAGTGTCGCACAATTTGTCTTGCAGCTTCCCTAGTAATATGAAATTGTTTTCTCAAACTTTGACTATTTTGGTGATGAATGGCATGAGAATTTGTAGCTTGCTCTACCTGAGTCAATCCTATAAGCTGAGTGGCTTTATCCGCCAAGGCATTCCCCAAAGCTAATGGTCCAGGAAGACCACTATGCACACTGAGATGTCCTATATAGCAAGGATATTTTCTAGATTTAATACTATTTTGCACTTGTCTAAACAGCAAACAAATTTGAACATTCCCAGTTTCAATAAAAGGCACTGTTTCAATTTCCTGTGGAGCTCGAGCTATATAATGACTATCTGTATAGCGATTGTAGGGTGTTGAGGCCATAAGCTGGAATGCTGCTGCTACAGCGCGAAGTTCCACTACCTGTGCTGAAGCAGGGGAAGTTTGAAAAGAATAACTTTGCCCATAAATCACATAAGCTGCATGTCATTATAAGAACCATCAGTAAATACCGACACAGCCTGGGGGATAGGACTAACCTTATCTTTTTTTTTTCAGACCTGGAACTCACTCTGTAGACCAGGCTGGCCTTGAACTCACAGAGTGATCTGCCTGCCTCTGCCTCCCAAGTGTTGGGACTAAAGGCGTGTGCCACCACGCCCGGCCTCACTGTCCCCCAGCAAGCGACCGGCAGTTTGTAGTAATCGAGCCACGAAATCCTGATATGGCTCATCCAGACCTTGCCTGATCTTAGACAAATCCTCAGTCTGCCTACCACTAGATGGCAGTTTATACCAGGCTCTCCAGGCTGAAGCATTGATCTGCTCATAGGCAGCAACATTGTATTGTAACTGCTGAGCAGTATCCCTATATTGTCCTTCACCAGCTAACATATCAAAATCTATAGGAATATTCTACACTCTATTGATATTCGCTGTCGCCTGGCACTGTTCCACATACTCAGATTTCCACAACAGATAATCTCCCCCTGAAAGGTAAGCACTCGCCATCTGCTTCCAATCGCCAGGCGGAAGCACGTCCATGGATAGGGATTCTAACAAAGCCTGGGTAAAAGGGGTAGTAGGACCATACTGAGCACGAGCAGTTTTTAGCTCCTAAAGCTGCTTAAATGGAATGGGTGCATGAGACCGCACCCCATTGCCCTGCTGATTGACTTGCTCCAAAACTGGGAAGACCTGAAATCCATGCAGTGACTCTCCTTGCTCTACTGCCTGTTGTAGCGGGTATTGCACAGTTCTAAATGGGTACCAGATTCCTGCTGAAGGCTCCTGAACCATGGCAATCATGGGAGGCGCAACAACCTTCGGTGGCCTCGGAGGAGGAGGATCTAATGCTGTTATAATAGAGGGTGTTGGGGTGGTCCTAGTTCTTTTCTCTTTGTTATTTAATATTTCCTTCTTCAAAGCCTCTAACTCTGCCCTTAATTGCTCAATTTCCCAGTGATAGTTAGGCTTCTCAGACAAAGCAATTAGAGGTGGATGTTTTTCCTGATCATACTTAACTGCCTCCTCTCCTAGGGCAGACTCATCTTCAGGGTTAAGAGATCCCTCTTCTAGTCCCAGACAGGGGTCCTCATAAGAGGGTGGCAAGGCTAATGGAGCCGGCCAGCTCTGGTGGAGTGGAAAGTTTGGTTTCACTTTTATCTGAGCTGTCGCTTATCGGATTCTCCTCTTTAGTCTCAGTGAATGTTCCTTCCTTTGCCTTCTCCGCCTTGTGCCTCGGATCAAGACTATCTTTGACCAAAGCCCACAATATAAAAGCATCTGTGGGAACTTTGGAAGGACCCTCCACGTCATAGTAATCCTGCATTTTCTCTCCAACCTGTAGCCACACATCTAAAATCACTGTTCCTTGTTCAGGAAACCAAGGACAAACCTTTTCTACAAAGTCTAAAAAATTTACAAGTTGCTTACGTTCCACTTTTGCTCCTCAGGCCCGAAGCATATTCTTTAAGATATATACAAAGAGCAAGCGACTGTTTCCTTGGCCCATCTTCTCCCAAGATAAATACTCGCTGCTCCCCAATTGTACTGAGTGCACTCACTTAACTTCTCCAGCGGTGTCCTTCACTTTTTCCCCTACTTTTCAAGGTCCCTGTTCTGGGTGCCATTAGCCAGTGCCAGCCAGCCGAGATGAACAGCACCCAAAAGGGGGGAGTGAGGATGAAAGAAAAGAGACAGAAAAAAGATACTTGGGAGGACTGTCAGCAGAGACTGCAGCCCCGGTTTATTTTAGCTCAGCCATCTTATACAGCAGAACATCAGATAGCCACAGTTTGCTTAGCTTCAACAGCTTTTTCCCCCACCTTTATCTGAGGGTCAAGGAACGGTCAAATACTTGTAGTGAATTCCACCAATTAACCATCTTCCCTAAATTATCAGCACATTCCTCCTGACTTGCAGAACAATTCAGTGCTTGTGTGTAAAACACAAACTCTTGAGTCAAGGTGAAAGGTCATAAAGTAAATAAGCAAGCCTGCCACAGCTCAATGTACATGATGGCTGTGCTTATATTAATAGCTCCCAACACCAGACTCCTGCAGTAGCCTCCTGCCTTACCCCTTCTATCCTTGCTAGTCTACAGCCTGTTCTTTACACAACACTCAAACGGGTCTTTTCAAAACTCAAGTCAGATCACATCATTCCTATGCAAAATCCGCCTATGGTTCCCAATTTCATTTTGAATACTTGGGCTACATGGTATGACTCTGTCTCAAAAACCAACCAAATGAACAGAAGGTACCTGGTGATGTGGGTCAGTGGTACAGTACATACTTTGTATGCGCAAGGTCCTCAGTTCAATATTCAGTATTATAAAATAAATAAGAACAAGTAAGGCTGAGCATGGTGGTGAGTGCCTTTAATCCTAGCACTCAGGAGGCAGGCAGATCTCTGTGAGTTCAAGGTCAGCCTGGTCTACATAGTTCCAGGCCAGCTGGGGCTTATGGGGAGACCCTGTCTCAAAAAAAGAAAAAAAAAAATATAAAAAAAAAAAAAAAACAAAAGTTAAAACGGGGTTTAAAAAAGCTTAAAGTGCTGGGATTATGGGCATGTGCTACCATGCCCTGCTCCAAATGAATATTCTTTAAAAAAATTTTTTTATTTTGTGTGTATGAGTGTATTGTCTACATGTATGTAAGTGCACCCATGTCATTCAATGCCTATGGAAGTCATAGAGCATCAGATTCCTGTGGAACTGGATTTACAGAAAGTTGTTAACCACCATGTGGGTGCTGGGAATCAAGCTCAGATCCTCTGCAAGAGCAGCTGAGCCATCTCTCCAGCACTATTTTTTTTTTCTTTTTTGGTTTTTTGAGACAGGGACTCCCTGTAGCCCCAGCTGCCCTGTAACTTGCTATGTAGACCAAGCTGGCCTTGATCTCACAGAGATCCCCCTGCCTCTGCCTCCCAAGTGCTGGTAGTAAAGGTGTATACCACCACACCCAGCAATTTTAAACTCTTGGCCTTCCTGCTTTCACTTCCCAAGAGCTGGGTATACAGGCTTGGGCCATCATAACTGGCTCCTACACATGCTTGTAATCTTCTTTCCTTCTGTAAATATATTATCATTTTGAATTTAAGTAGTACTTATATAAATAGATGTCTTATTACATATAGCTACTTATTTAGTATGATATTCCTCATCTATGGGAGTGTAAGTATTAAGACAACATATGAACAAAGTCAACAATGAAGACAGGGTGGCTCACAAACCAGAATAGGAAATCTTCCCTCATTGGTGGAAGGAGTTCATAAATAGCCAGGGAATTCTCCAGTAGGAGAGCTGGAATGTGTCTGAGCATGATTGCCAATGAGAAATATTTGTTTTCATTATAAAGTTGAGTGTCAGGGCTCAGAGATGGCTCAGTGGTTAGGAGCACTGGCTGCTCTTACAGAGGACCCAGTTTCAGTTCTCAGCACCTACAACCATCCTTAACTCCAGTTCCAGGAGATCTAAAGCTGTCTTCTGACTTCCATGGGTATTGCATGCACATGGTACACTCAAATACTTGCAGGCAAAACACTCAAACATAAAATGAAATTTTATAAACCTCCTTTTGTATGTAGAGGGCACGATCAGAAACTCTTGCCTGTAGGATATTTAGAGTCTTTCTTGAACTATTTTCTGAAGATAACTACCCTATTTTGTTGTCTAGCATTGATTGTTTTGATTGCTTACTTAGGTTTATTTGTCTTGCCTAGGTCAAAGTTCCTTTGTTAAAGCTCCTTCAGAACTCTGTTGGTCAATGAGGCAGCACTGAAACTTTTGTGGAAGCAGCACTAAACTGAGGTCCCTTCTTTGCTTTCTAGAGTTTCCCCCTGTTTCCTTACTACGGAACAACTCAGGATTTCCCCAAGGGTTCAGAGGGGCTACAAGTAGAAATATTTGTCTGTAAAGCAGAACACTTCCTGTTTGACTTGCTTTTAAGTAGGCAGAAACAGAATCTGCTGACTGATGACTGCTACACAAGATGAGGCCAGTTCCTTCCTCTTTTCTCAGTTTATCTCCTAAACCCCAGCAGAGTCTAGTCAAGTTTTCAGATGACTTTGGAAACCCAAATGTTTCAGAATGTACATCCTGGAAGCCAAAGGCTGCTGCAACCACTGACAATTTTGCTGTTGTTTGGTAAGTAAGGGTCATTCTGAAATAAGAGTAATTTCAGCCTCTCCTATTGATTAGACTCCAGGGACCAGGGTAGTAAAGAACAGGTCTGGTTTAGAAACCAGGAACGGATTAAAAGAGAAGAGATCCAGGCAAGGTGGTACATGGCTGCAATCCCAGTGCTTAGGAGGTGGGGGCAGGAGAATCAGGCGTTTAAGGTCATCCTCTGCTAAACAGCAGAAATCCAGTTCCAGGCCAACCTGGCTGTATTGAGAACCTGTCAAAAAAAGAAGATTCTAAATTCTCACTGTACTGGTGCTTCTTAAGGTCAGAATTCAGAGTCTTCGGGAAGTCTGTTCAGCACCAATGAGTCATACTTACTTTGTAGCCCCGCCAAGGGCTCAGGATGAGCCAAGGAGGACCTGAGAGATAACATTCTGGTAAAATAAACCAGAGACAGGCTCTTGGATGGTTCATGGGGTAAGAAGGCGCTCTGAATCCCTTCCCCTCCCTCCTTCTTCACATGCACAACTGGATTTGCTTTTATCTTCTGCTGCGGTTCTACACTGACCCATTTTCTTCTTGTTTACAGCTTTCGCAGACAGACAAACTGGTAAGTTTGTTCTCTTGTTTTCATGATATTACTTTCTTACAATGAAATACTATTTACTTTGTAGGGTAATGTCTGTCCTACCAAGATTCAGCTGTAGGTTCAGATTGGATGGTTCTCTCATTTCAGTAGAACCTGAGATATGATTCTTGATAAAATTCCAGCTAGATTCTCCAAAGACCCAAGGAAAGAGGCCTGCTACATGTACATAGATTTTTTTTTTTTAATGGTCTAGATATAGGCCTCAGGACCTTGAGTATACTAGGCAAGCTTCCACCACTGAGCTACATCCCTAGCCTTTTCAAATTCATTTTGAGACAGATTTGCTAAGTTGTCTAAGATGGCCTTGAATTAATTATGTATCACAGATAGGCCTTAAACTTGTGACCCTTCTGCTGCTTCTTTCCCATTGCTGGATTACAGGTGTGGGCTAACGTGCTCAGCTCATACACAGATCTTTAACTGGGTCCATGATAGGACTCTCTGGCCTTTGACCTCCCCTGGGAGCACATTTGGAATCCATGGTCCCTCTAAGGTTATTTGCTCATATTCCTTTCTGTTCTCCCACCTCCAGCATGTTTCCAGAAGGCTGTGGTGAAACTTGAGCCCCCGTGGGTCCAGGTGCTCAAGGAAGACAGCATGACACTGAAGTGCGAAGGGGCCCACAATCTGGGGAACTACTCCTACTCCACCCAGTGGTTCCACAATGGGAGCCGCATCCCGGGCCAGGCCCAGTCCAGCTACAGGTTTAAAGCCACAATGAATGACAGTGGAGAATACCAGTGCCAGATGAACCAGACCAGCCTCAGTGACCCTGTACATCTGGGAGTGATTTCCGGTTGGTAGAGGCAGGCCCAGGGAGGGAATGGAAAACCAGGAGGTGGGGGTGTATGTGTGTGTGTATCTACTTATACTGCAGAGGTTTGCAGGAAAGTGGGTGGTCTGTTTTTGGGAAGCATTACTGCCAGCTGATTTCTGAAGGACTTTTGTTCACTCATTTCGCTTTTCACTCACCTCTTTGTTTAGTATTGTGTGGAGGGGGTTCGAATTCCTAAGAAATTCCCCACTGTATGTGAGCAGCTGTTTCTGCCTCAGTCTTGATTGAGCAATACAGATTTAAGGCCCCAGGAAGGCAGCTGAGTGTCAGGCCAACAGAAGGAAGTCTCTGCCTCATGAAATCAGTCTATATGGTGGTAATGTGGTGGAACATGGGGATTGCAGGCAGTGAGACCTGCAGAGAGCATGCCTGACAAGAGTGGGGAGACAGGAGGCAAGGTCTCCCAGAGAGGAACTGAAATCTGGAAAACCAGGTCAGAGGTGAGGGGAGGGGAGGGGAAGGATAGATCATGTAGAAGGAGATAGGCTTTGTGATGACTTTGACTTTTTTATTCCTAAATAAGATGAGAATTCATAAAGTGGTTTAAAATTTTACATTAGTATTTTTCATTCTTACACATAAAAATTATGTGTATACATGGTCAATTGTTAGGGATTAGGAATTTTAATTCTCTCTTGGGTGAGAACTCTCCCAGTAAATGTTAGGATGAAGAGCTGAAAGAGTCACTGGTAGGAAAGAGAAAGAAATCAACTTCATACAGTTCTTAACGACCTTTATTTATCAGTCAGTGAGGGCTGACTACTGACCAGCAAGTCTGCTGTAGCCACATGGGCCAACAGCAAGGAAGCTCAAGTACTTTTGTGTGTGTAAACAGAATCATGGGGGTTGGGCAAGGGATTCTGGGCCTGGCATTCCTCCCTAGTACTTATGGGTCTTGGGGAAGGCTTGTTTTCAAAGCAGGGTCTGTGTGCAGAAATTTACATTTGAGGGGTCCTGTGTGGGCTTGTTTGCAAAGCAAAAATTGCTTTATGATTTGGGGCTAATGGAGGTCTCCCTTCAGTGATAACATGATGTTTTGGTATGTGTATATATTGTTTAGTGTTTAAATCAAGTTAAATATATTTATCTTCTCAAACATTTGTCATTTCTTTACAGTATAAACATTGAAAATCCTTATTTCTAGCTTTTAGAAACAGATAGTACATTATCTAGAGTATCCTATCATGCAATAGCAACCTGAAATATCTTGCTTCTAACTGTGACTCAGTACTCATTAATCAACTTTTCTCCATCCTACCCATCTGTCCTCTTTTCCTAGCCTCTGCTAACCAACTCCTATGGCTTGACTATTTTTAATATTCTATGTATGAGTGATACTGTTTATACTTGTCTTTCTATGCCTGACTTATATCACTTAACGTAATGATTCCCAATTCAATACATGTTGTTGAAAATAGGATTTGTTGTATTCTTCTGTCCTCCCCCCCCCACATTTTTTTTAAAGATAGGATTTCCCATAGCCCTAGCTGGCCTGGAATGCCTCATGTGAACCCGACTGTCCTTGATCTCACAGAGATCCTCCTACCTCTACCTCCCCAGTGCTAGGACTAAAGGCGTGTGCTACCACATTGGGCTAGGATTTGTCCTTCTTATGACTGAAAAATATTCCATTGAGTGAGTATGAGATCCTTAAAGAGTCATATGATCTGATTTGGGTTTACGTAAATATGTGACAATTTAGTTTGGTAGAGTCTGTAAGGGAAATGCCTATGGATACTATTTCTATAACAGTCCAGTATCTGAAAATATAAATATGCTTGTAGATTTCTTCAGGACCTTCTTGGAACACAAACCCTGAAGATGGTACATGCAAGCAATCCATGCTTTAGATTTTCTTGTTTAATGCCAAGAAAGTGATTTTTAAAATGTTCCTTTAAGATTCCTATGCTATCAAGACCTGGGGGTATAGTCACTTTCTGTTATTTCTCTGAGAAATAAATATCAAATTAACTTCAAAATCTGCCCAATGATATCATAGCTACTCACCGCTTTTCTTTGCATCTCATCTATCCTGAAACAGCCAATGACACTTCTGACTTTTCCTATGAAAATATAAAATTATAAATTAAAAAAAATCTTTGAGGCTGTAAGCAGTGCTCTAGCTATTGCCCAGACTGCTACCTTTTTGCAGTGTAGTAATAAATTATTCTCCTTAAAAACAAAAACCTTAAAACCAGGCCTGGTGGCACACATCTTTAATCTTAGAACCCAGAAGGCAGAGGAGGTGAATCTCTATGAGTTTAAGGCCAGCTTGCTCTACATAGTGAGTTCCTGGCCAGCCAAAGCTATATACTAAGACCTTGTCTCCCCCAAACAAACAAAAACAAAAACTTTAGAGCTGGTAAGGTAGCTCAGTGGGTAAAAGCACTTTCTACACAAGCATGAGGACCTGAGTTTAATTCCTGGAACCCACAGTAGAAGAGAACTAACTCCTGAAAGTTGTTCTCTGACCTCCACATGCCGTACACACACACACACACACACACACACACACACACACACACACACAGATTAAAGATTAAAAGGATTGTTAAAAAAGAAATCATCTAGCCAGGTATAATGGTACATGCCTTTCATCCCTGTACTTGGGAGGCAGAGGCAGGTGGATCTCTGTGAGATCAAGGCCAGCTTGGTCTATAGAATGAGTTCCAGGCCAGCTGGAATTACAGGGAGACCCTCTCTTAAAAACAAACAAACCCAGGCTGGAGAGATGGCTCAGTGGTTAAGGACACTGGTTGTTCTTGCAGAAGACTTGAGTTTGAATCCCAGCATCCACATGGCAGCTAACAACTGTCTGTAACTCCAGTTCCAGGGGATCCGACAGCCTCTTCTGACCTCCGGGGGCATTGTGTGACACAGGTGCACTTATCTACATGCAGGCAATACACGCATACACACACACACAAAAACAAAACAAAACAAAAACCAACCCAACAAACAAAAAACAAAAGCAAGCAAACAAACAAAAAACCCAAACCCAAACTCCCCAAACCAAGTTAACAAACAAAAAGAAACCATCTAATCTAATCCCTTTATTGTACAAAGAATTTGCACTGATGAGATGATGATCCAAGAGTTCAGTAATTAATGGAAGAACCAAGATCTAGAAAGCTTGTTGAACCAGTCCTTGTAGGCTTGTTCTTCAAAGTAGCTGAATTACAATAAATTAAAAATTTATGGTGTTTATTTTATGTGTATGAGTGTATTGCCCCCATATATGTAAGTGCCTCTGTGTTGTGCAATTCCCACGGGTATCAGCAGAGAAGGGGTGTTGGATATCCTGGAATGAAGTACCAATGGTTGTAGCTGCCATGCGGGTGCTGGAATTTGAACTGGGGTCTTCTGCAAGAGCAGCCAGTGCTCTTAACTGCCGAGTCATTCTCCAGCCAAAGTAGATGAAATTTTTAATTGCTTTCAATGAAGTAGCTAGGAATGAGGATACTTGTAGACAGAAAGAAAAGTGACTTTAAGTTTAAAAGCTTTCTTTAGTGTCCTTTTAGTTCAGAGTCACAACTGAATTCAGAAGTCCATATATAGCTGGGCATGGTGTCTAATATCTCTAATCTCAACTGAAGCAGGAAGCTGAGGCAGGGGAATTGCTGAGAGTTTGAGGTCATCCTGGGCTTTATAGTGAATTCCAGGCCAGTGTGAGCTACAGTGCGAGACCCTGTCTCAAGTCCTTGAATTTCGTCCAAAGGTTATACACTTAGAAGATCAAGACTGTCTGATACCAAATTATAGCTCTTCCCTCAGTATATCATGTCCTACCAGGGAGGGTGGTCTGGGTCTCAGAGCTGAGCCCCGGTCTTCTGAGTCCTTTTGTATCTTTCAGACTGGCTGCTGCTGCAGACCTCTCAACTGGTATTCCAGGAAGGGGAAACATTCACGTTGAAGTGCCACAGTTGGAAGAGCCAAGCCCTGAACAAAATCACATTTTTCCAGAATGGAAACCCCGTGAGGTTTTCTAATAAGAATAGCTGGCTAATCTCAAAAGCAAACCACAATCACAGTGGTGATTACTACTGCAAAGCCTTTTTAGGAAAGAATCGACACACATCGAAGTCTGTGACCATCACTGTCCAAGGTACAATCCAGGGTGGTTCAAGAAGCTTTAGCACTGGAAGTCTAGGTAGAAAGTGAATTACTGATCCTCTTCAGACATTACTACTTGCATTCTCCTGAGTGGTCCTCTTGATGTTAATGGGACCCTGAAGGTTCTAGTTGACCTGATTTCCATGTGGGTGTGTAGCTGTATTCCAGCTTATTCACTGGGGGTTGTGGAAATGAGTGCCATTCACTCAGGATTTCAATGGAAATCTTTTCATCTCCACAAGTAGGTCTACCAGACACACCTCATTTCATTTCATTCAAACCACTCTATTTTGTCTCGTGTCCTTCTCTCTCTAGGATTCTGAGGCTTGTAGGTACCAACTGACCTCTTAGTCTAGGCTCAGGCACTAGCTCGGGGCAGTCGTGTTGGCTTGGGAATTTTTCTCTACCCACAAAGAACTAGGGCTCTGTTTGTTCTTGAGAAATTTTGCATTGTGGAATGCCAATTATGCCTTTTAGGAGACATGGAAAGCTACTGTGACAGACTAGTGTTGGTCTGTGAACATATCCCAGTTGTAGGCTGAGGAGGTGGTTGGTGAAAATCTCTTGATGTGGTTATAAATTTCCTAGTTCAAGGTTTTCCAAAGACTTGAGGCTTCTTGATGGGTTTTCCAGAATAAAGGGTTCTGTGATCAGATTTATGTGGGACATGCTGTTTCTGTTTCTCTCCTTTTACAGTCATAGCTTATATTAAATACTTTTAAGCAACATTATTGTAACTCTAGCATATTGACATATGCCTATAATCCAAGCCCTTGGAAAGTTGATAGTTGGAAGCCAACCTAGGGAGGAAAAGATGGTTTCCATTAAAACCTTGAGTGAAAGCCAGGCATGGTAGCACATGCCTTTAGTCCTAGCACTTGGGAGGCAGAGGCAGACAAAGCTCTGTGAGATCAAGTCTGGTTTATATAGCAAGTTCCAGGCCAGTTGGGGCTACAGGGAGACCTTTCTCAAAAAGACCCTCCCTACCCCCACCCCAAAAAAGAAAAGCTTAAAAGTTGTGTTTCATATGGAATTTGCAAAATCTAGGTGACCACGAAATCTTTGTCTTCTATAATTTCAGACAGATGTGCCCATGGTCACTTTAGGAAATGCTGATTTAGTACCTTGTTGGGGAAGGCAGAAATGAAGCATCCTCTGAAGACTTCCAGGCCTATTTATATGTTTTTGGCCTTACCTTACATGCCTGGTATGGGTGACTTCACAAAAGCTCTGCAGTAGGGATCTCACAGTTTATTCAAAATTTCTCTCTTTCTTTCTTTCTTTTTTTTTTTTTTTGAGATAGGGTTTCATTATATATAACCTGACTGGCCTGGAACTCACTGTGTAGACCAGGCTGGTTTTGAACTCACAGAGACCTGCCTGCCTCTGTCTCCCAAGGGCTGATTAAAGGCTTGTGCCACCACACCCAACCTCTAAAATTTGTCTTAATGACACATTTCTCCTGATTTTTCTGACTCTCTTACTAGGTCCAGTAATTCCACCCAGCTCTCTACTTTGGTACCACGTTGCTTTCTGCCTGATGATCTGTCTCGTATTTGCAGTGGACACAGGACTGTATTTCTATGTACGGAGAAACCTTCCAAGTTCAGTGGAGGACTGGAGGAATTGCAAAGTCAGAAGGTGTCAGAGTTCTCAGTACAAGTAACATCTCATCCTATGGCAAAACAGCAGTGGTAGCAGTATCTGTTTCAACCACACTCCACACTCCTGCTTTTCACCTAGCCTTTCTTTGAGAGCAACTTGGAGCCAGGCCTGGCATTATGGTCTTGTAATTATAGTTACTCAGGAAGCTGAGGCAGGAGGATCACCAGTTCATGGGCTACTGAATGAATTAAATTCTAACCTATATAACTTAGATCCTTTTTCAAGAAAAAGAGGGCTAGCAAGAAGGTGGCGAGATAGCTCAGCCAGAAAAGGGGCCTGCCACTAAACCTGGCAACTTGAATTTGATTTCTGGGACCCAGTAAAGAGAACTAACTCCCAAAAGTAATCTTCTGACCCACACACCCGCCATGGCAGATGCTTGCCCCTGTACATGCACACAAAATAAGTAAATAAAAATATTTAAAAATTTTAAAAAACAAGGAGAGAGTTGGGGATAAAATTCAGTGGTAGAACTCTTTCCCAGTTTATGTGATGCACTGGGTTTGATCTCTGGCAGAAAAAAACAAAAAGCAACTTAGGCAAAACATCCCCTTTTTGACACTTCTTTGCTCAAAGTAACTTAAAAGTTTCTCTTCGTACTTAGAGGAAAAGCTAGTGCCTTTGCAATGTTCTGCAAGATACCACATGATCCTGTCTTTCTGATCTCATCTCCTTCTGCTTTTCTGTGCTTCTTGTCCATACTTGATCTTCCTTGAACAGAGCAACTGTACTTCTACATAGACTCTGTTATTTCCTGTTTCAAGAATGTTCTTACTTAGCGATACTTATGCCATGCTTCACCATGCCTTTTATGGTTGAATAGGACTTGTCACAACCAAAAACTTGAGGCTCAATCCTCAGTGTAGCAGTATTGAGAGGCAAAGACCAAAGGGAGGCATTTGGGTCCTGAGGCAACAGTTCTTAGGCTAGGAACAGTTCTGGCGGGAATAGCTTAGCTATCCTGACAGCTGCTTTCTCTCTTTCCAATGCCCTGACTTGCACTTGTGCTTTTCTGCCATTCATAGAGCAACACAAGGCCCTCATCAGAAGCCAAGCCAATGTGGCCATCTGAACTTGGACATCCAGGCTCCATAACTGTGATTTAAATAAACCTCTGTGCTGTGTAAATTAACCAGTCTCAGATGCTTTACTATATATAGGAGTAGAAAACAGACTAAGACAATGAACTTTAGATTTGTTTTCAATTGTCACCTTATTGTAAGAAACATCAAATATTAGCCTTTTCTTTCAAACACTATAAACGTTTTACAAAGAATTCTAATGTTCTAGCTACCCGCCTTCCCACCCTACAAAAACTTTTGATTTATGACAAGGGATTCTAATCTTCTGATCACCCCTAATATCCACCCTATAAAACTTTTGGTTACGAAATAAGGAAAAGAGTGCATTCCAGTGTATGCAAGTTCACAGCAAAGATCACTGACCAAGACAACTCCATGGGGCACAGCCATTTATTGTGGGGATCAAACCACTGGACTGCCTCCCAGAATCAGAGAGACCGCAACCAACAGCAGAACTCAGGTGGCCTTTATAGGTAGTTAGGGGCTTGGGTAACTTTCTATGACATAGACTGAGTGGTTTAGCTTGTGATTGTTTGGTCTTCTGATAAGCAGTGCAACTTTCCAAGGCTAAGTTTGGACCCACCATTTTAGAATATTGGGAGCTACACTGCCATTTTAGGAGTCTGCCAGGAGCCTAAAACCAGGAATTGATGGCCTGGGAGTGGGGGAAGGCTGAGCCCTTCCTCTTCTTTGGTCAACTACCCCCATTCTCTTTTTCTTCCTTTGTGTGGATCTTAGCCAACTGGGAAAGACTGTGAGGTCGGACCTCAGTCAGTGGGGGAAAAGACACAGTACTATTGCATTAGGAGTTAGATAATAACATGTTCTGTCCTTATCCATGTGCTTGCTTCTCCATCTCTCTGCTGTGAGTAGTGCACCCTTCGTGCAGGTTTGCCTTGTTGAGATGCATTAACTGGAGTGGTGGTGGTCTCTTCCTTTGTGACCCTAAACATATTTCTAACATTATCGGTGAGGGCTCATTCAGGAGTATAATCCTAGTCCCCTACCACACTCCTAAGTCTCCTCTCTTTTTATTTTTCTCCTCTGTACTTATCACTAACTGATGTACTATATTTTTTAATATTTTGTTATTTTTATTTTCTGTGTATGAGTGTATTGCCTGCATGTAGGTAAATGCACCAGTATGTGCAATGCCTGCAGAGGTCAGAAGAGGGCATCCAATCCCTTGGCACTGGAGTTACAGATGTTTGTTAGCTGCCACATGGCTGCTGGGAACCAAATCCTGGTCCTCTGCAAGAGCAGCTGGTACTCTTAACTGCTGAGTCATCGCTCCAGCCCCTATGTACTATATGTTTACTTACTTATTTTTTGCCTGACTCTCCCTTCTCCTCCCATTAAACTATGAGCTCCAGGGCTGATCTGTTTTGTTTACCTCCACATACTCAGACCCTAGTTAGTAAATTCTTTAATGTTTGAAATCAGAAATCTTTAGGCTGGAATTTTTTTTTAATTTTTAAATCTTATGTGTATGCATATAAGTGTACCCGTGTCGTGCAATGCCTGAGGGTCAGAAGAGGCTGTCAGATCCCCTGGGACTGGAGTTATGGACAGTTGTTAGCTCCTGAGTGCTAGGATTCGAACCCAGGTTTTCTGCAAGAACAAGCAGTGTTCTTAACTGCTGAGCCATCTCTTAGGCTGGGCAATTCTTACAAAAGATGGTATAGTCTTATTTTAAAACTGGAATCTGTGGCTCAGGTAGATGAAATCACTTAATAAGGAACATATAACTAGTCAGTGTGACAGGCTCTTTTATACATAAATTGGATCATCTATAAACTATATTGATCATTGTATTGGATCATGAGTAACCCTTCAGTTCACAATGGCTAAGTCATTACTTTAAAAGATATCCAAAACTAAGCTACACATAAATTGATAGGTTTGAGTGGGTATATAAAACTTGTACTGTATTCATCTGTGCTTGAACTTCTGTGAAGCCATCAGTTAAAAAATAAAGACGAGTGGGCCAGTGAAATGGCTCAGCAGGTAAGTGCTTGACATCAAGCCTGACAACCTGAGTTTAATCCACAGAACTCACATGGTAGAACCGGAGAACCGATTCCCTCAAGTTGGCTTCTGAAATCCACAGGCACCCTGTGGCACACATGTACTGTGGCCTGCACACACAGACACAGACACAGACACAGACACAAATACACACAATAAATGTAACAAAAATTATCTTTCTTTAAGTGAATGATGAGGCCAGGGGTAATGACTCAGTGGTAGAATACTTGCTTAGCATGTCTGATGCCCTGGGAAAAGTGTTGACATTGGGAACAAATATTCACGTACAGTACCTGCTTTACCACTATTCTTGTGATTTTGGGAGTGGGGGATGGAAATTTCCTTTATGTATGTGCAGCTGGGGACCAAAGTCACAACCTTGAATATGCTAGGCAAGTGTTCTACTGACTGATTAGTGCAACCTGACTCCTTCCTTCCTCTTCAAAGACTTCCCCAGAATTTCCAATGGATTCTAATCTTTCAGAGAAGAGCAGGAGTTTTTAGCATTTGTTTTTACAAATTAGAACTTTTGGCTAAATGTGATGGCACAACACATATTCTCAGTGTTAGGCAGCTAGACAGGCATTAGGAGGTTAGGAAGCTACTGAGGATGGACCCTTCTCTCATGATCAGCTTTGGACCCTCCTTCTCCTTTATCATATGAAAAGGTTGAGGTAACTGGGTTTGCTTGAGGCCTATTAAAGGAAAGCTATTTTTTCCAAGTCAAAATAATAAAATCTAGCCAGGGGGAGTGACTGGGAGTGGATAGTGGGAGGGGGTGGTGATGGTGGTGGTGGTGATGGTGGGGTAGATTCCTTTAATCCCAGCACTCTGGAGGCAGAAGGCAAAGGCAGGCAGATCTCTGTGAGTTCAGGAGCATACCTCTATGGCTGAACCTAATTCAAGAGGCATGACTTTCTCTCCTCCATCCCCTTCCTGGCAGCTTCTGGGATTTACAGTGTGCCCTCTCTATGGTTTTTCTCTCAAGCTCTAATATAATGGCCCTTGAGTTTCCTTCTGAGTCTGTTTTAAAAATTCCTTTTTTCAATGAGACTAAGAACCTTCAAAAGGGAACTCCGATTCCTAGGTAACAAGTGTTTGTTTGGGACACGAAGAAGATGAACAGTGCATCCCAGATGGAGACCCCCTCCAGGAGCACCAGCACTTGAGAAGTGGAGACAGGAAGACAAGTTCAAGGACAGTCTCAGCTACCAGTGTCAGAGATCTTATCTCACAAACATAAACACATAAATAAATTAGAAATTTCCTTTAAGTTGGGTAACAATAGAATTCAAAATTAATTAACTAATTAAAGATTAATATATTAAGTTTTTTCGATACAGGGTCTCACTATGTAGCCATGGCTGGCCTGGAACTTGATAGACCAGGCTGGCATTGAATTCACAGAGATCCACTTGCCTCTGGACCAGGCTGTCCTTGAACTCAGAGGTTCATCTGCCTCTGGCTCCTGAGTGCTGAAATTAAAGGTATGTGGCACCATGTCTAGCCTTGTATTTTATTTTATTTTATTTATTTTGTGAACCAGTAAGCTTAATCAAGAATGTGGGTGAGGGGTTATTTACAGGAGCATGGACAATTTACAGTGGCTATAATCCTGAAGAAAATCTCCCTCCCTCAGCAACTATATAGATCCTCAGGGAGGAGCAAGACCTCATGAGCCCCTCCCCTTTTCATGATAGGGCAAAATAGTATTTTAAATTCCTTTAAGATGCAGTTAAAATACACTATCAAAAAGTACGTTTTCTAGCCGTCATCTCACCTAATTGCCGGCCTTGAGAGTTTAGTGGTGCCACTCGGAAGACCCAAGTTTGTATGTGTCCTCCGATGGGGAGGTTATAGAGTGTGTGTGTGTGTGTGTGTGTGTGTGTGTGTGTGTGTGTGTGTGAGTTTGGTCCTCTTCCTCAAGGACATCTCTGAAATGTATCTTCTGTTGGATTTCAATTTAAGTCCAATATCAGAAAGTTTAAATGGAATGTTCTGAATTAAAGAAATTGGAACATGATAACTTAATTCGCAAAACCCCAAACTTGCTAAGAAGCGTGTGGCTTTACTACCTTGCTGAACCCATCTCATCCTTTAGAGCGTAAGATGGACTGGGGTTGCAGCAATTTATTCTACACCTGAATCCTGGGTTCAATTCCACTAGTCACAGAAAAAGAAAAATCTTTCCAAATGGCTCTGGGGATGATGCTCTGTGAGCATCTCAGGATAGGTCTCAAATCCAAGAGTGAAATCTGGCTTTCCTTGATTCATCCTTCTCTCATGGGCGGTCCCGCCAGGTCACTCCCGAATCTTACAGCCACAGTGCAAAGCTCGAGTTCCTCAGAAGTAAACCGGTGAAAAACCAAGAATCACTAAAGCAAAGAATCCTCTGAGGAAAGCTGGGGAAAGAAAAGTGAATCGAATATTCGAAAAACCTCAGCGAAGAAAAATTTTCCGTTTGCATTGGCCGGGAATCGAACCCGGGCCTCCCGCGTGGCAGGCGAGAATTCTACCACTGAACCACCAATGCCAACGTAGAAAAGCGGCTTGCAGCACTCTTCTTCAGTTGATCTATCTGCATGCTACACGGTATCGAATCTCTCTAAATCAGTTCTCAAAGCACTGCTCTTTGGTTTTGAGTGTTCATGCTTTTATAACGCCAAAACCAAAACAAAAGCCAACGATTTAAAATTCTGGTTTGTTTCCAGGACGGCACACTTCCGGCTTTCTGAAGCCTCCTGACCTGGCCTAACCCAGTTCCAGGCTTGCGCGCTCGGAGGACTCCTCCCAGCAACAGGGGAAACTTAAGTTGCTCCCACCTAGCTTGTAACACAAACCAGCGCCTTTAGAATCAGCTGGGAAAAGCTGGAACATTCGGCGCTTCTTCTCAGCAGCTCTGAGTCACAATGCGTTGTACCAGACACTCCACTCTGCAGCTCGGCCGGATTATTCTGCCTGAGTCAGCTTGGCAGACCCGGCTGAGTCAGCCCCGGAGGGCGGGGACCGCTGGTTCTGGGCTGGCTGAGAAGGTGCGCGAAGGTTCTCGGCTGCTGGGGCGGGAGGAGGCGGGACTCCCACAACCGGATAAAAAGCCGGTGGAAGCGGAGCCCAGCAGATCACAGCTGGGCTGGCTGGAGAGACAGGAGAGGACCACGCCACCGAACTCCGACTAGGGCTGAGCCACACCGCCTCTCGTCAATTGGAGAGTACTCTTCTGCATCCCTACATCCGAGCCACCTCGAGCATCCTCTTCTGCATTGCTGCATCCGAGCCACCTCGAGCATCCCCCTCTGCATCCGAGCATCCGAACGAGAGAGAAGCCGCCGCAGCCATGTGTGCTCCCAGAGAAGTGGCGATCGGCATCGATCTGGGCACCACGTACTCCTGCGTGGGCGTGTTCCAGCAAGGCCGGGTGGAGATCGTGGCCAACGACCAGGGCAACCGCACCACGCCCAGCTACGTGGCCTTCACCGACTCGGAGCGGCTGGTGGGCGACGCCGCCAAGGGCCAGGCGGCCCTGAACCCGCACAACACGGTGTTCGACGCCAAGAGGCTGATCGGCCGCAAGTTCACCGACTCCACTGTGCAGGCGGACATGAAGCACTGGCCGTTCCAGGTGGTGAGCGAGGGGGGCAAGCCGAAAGTGCGCGTGTCCTACCGCGGGCAGGACAAGGCGTTCTACCCCGAGGAGATCTCGTCCATGGTGCTGAGCAAGATGAAAGAGACAGCAGAGGCCTACCTGGGCCAGCCGGTGAGGCATGCGGTGATCACCGTGCCTGCCTACTTCAACGACTCGCAGCGCCAGGCCACCAAGGACGCGGGTGCCATCGCGGGGCTCAACGTGCTTCGGATCATCAATGAGCCCACGGCGGCCGCCATCGCCTACGGGCTAGACCGGCGCGGTGCCGGAGAACGCAACGTGCTCATTTTTGACCTGGGTGGGGGCACCTTCGACGTGTCAGTGCTTACACTCGACGCGGGTGTTTTTGAGGTGAAGGCCACGGCTGGAGACACTCACTTGGGTGGAGAGGACTTCGACAACCGGCTGGTGAACCACTTCGTGGAGGAATTCAGGCGCAAGTACGGGAAAGATGTAAGCGGAAACAAGAGAGCGCTGCGCAGATTGCGCACGGCCTGCGAGCGAGCCAAGCGCACCCTGTCCTCCAGCACCCAGGCTACCTTGGAGATAGACTCCTTGTTCGAAGGTGTGGACTTCTACACGTCCATCACTCGTGCCCGCTTCGAGGAACTGTGCTCAGACCTCTTCCGCAGCACCCTGGAGCCCGTGGAGAAGGCCCTGAGAGATGCCAAGCTGGACAAGGTCCAGATCCACGACGTCATTCTGGTGGGTGGTTCGACCCGCATCCCCAAGGTGCAAAAGCTGCTGCAAGACTTCTTCAACGGCAAGGAGCTGAACAAGAGCATCAACCCGGATGAGGCTGTGGCCTATGGGGCTGCTGTGCAGGCGGCCGTGTTGATGGGGGACAAGTGTGAGAAGGTGCAGGATCTCCTGCTGTTGGATGTGGCTCCCCTGTCCCTGGGGCTAGAGACTGCCGGTGGAGTCATGACCACGCTGATCCAGAGGAATGCCACCATCCCCACCAAGCAGACCCAGACCTTCACGACTTACTCTGACAACCAGCCTGGGGTCCTGATCCAGGTGTATGAGGGTGAGAGGGCCATGACAAAGGACAACAACCTGCTGGGTCGTTTTGAGCTCAGTGGCATCCCCCCAGCCCCACGGGGAGTCCCTCAGATTGAAGTAACCTTTGACATAGATGCCAATGGTATCCTGAGTGTGACAGCCACTGACAGGAGTACAGGCAAGGCTAACAAGATCACCATCACCAATGACAAAGGCCGGCTGAGCAAGGAGGAGGTGGAGAGGATGGTTCGAGAGGCAGAGCAGTACAAGGCTGAGGATGAGGTCCAGAGGGACAGAGTGGCTGCCAAAAACTCCCTGGAGGCCCACATCTTCCATGTAAAGAGTTCCTTGCAAGAAGAAAGCCTCAGGGCAAAGATTCCAGAAGAGGACAGGCTCAAAGTGCAAGACAAGTGTCAGGAAGTCCTCACCTGGCTGGACCACAACCAGTTGGCAGACAAGGAGGAGTATGAGCATCAGAAGAAGGAGCTGGAGCAAATCTGCCAGCCCATCTTCTCTAGGCTCTACGGGGGGCCTGGTGTTCCTGGGGGCAGCAGTTGTGGGGCTCAAGCCCGTCAGGAGAGGCCTAGTACTGGCCCTGTCATTGAGGAGGTTGACTGAATGGCCCCTAGTGAGAAGTCAGCTGTGAGAAGTCAGCTGTGACTGGAAGGGTTGGGCTTATGGGCCTTCTGGACTGTTCTATATAATCCTGCCTTGTAACTTCAGGGGTTGGTTGGGCATCTTGTCCTCGATGCTGGGAGTGGTTTCCTCATTTTTCTTCTTTTGTTTTATCTCACTATGTTTTATCATTGAGGTCTTTGTTATTGGATATTTTAAGTCCACTTCTCTCATTTTAAACAACTCAAAGCGATTTATTATTGTCTGTGTGGCCCTCTGACATTGCCTTCATGTCCATTTTGTATGTTTTTTAATTGCATGCATGGGTTTTGTTATGTGCAATGTAGTTTTAGCTCTAAATAAACGTTTAAAAACTCCTACTTAGTTTTTATTCTAATCAGTTAAGTAAATGATGAGTCTCAGATTTCAGAAGTAGAAAATCTTGGGGTGGGTGCTGAAAGAGGGATGTGAAAAAAATTCACAAGGCTATGCACAAGATGTTTCTTTAAAATGAAATTTATAAAAGGATTTTTTATTGGGGTTGGAGGATGGCTTAGCGGTTAAGAACACTGGTTGTTCTTGCAGAAGATCCGGGTTCAAATCCCAGCACCTGCATGGTAGTTAGCAACTGTCTGAAACTCCAGTCCCCGGGGATCCGACTGCCTCTTCTGACCTCCACAGGCATTGCACTTAACTACATGCAGGCAATACACACATACACATAAAATAAAAATAAAAAAGATTTATTATTATTATTGTTGTTGTTGTTGCTGTTTTTTGAGACAGTTTCACTGTATAACTCCATCTTGCCTGGAACTCAATATGTAGACCATCCTGCTACAACTCACTATGACAAAGTCCCTATGTAGTCTGGCCTGGACCTTATAGAGATCCTCCTGCCTCTCCCTCCAAGTGCTGATATTAACTCTGCCTATTTTTATCATTTATTAATTATGTGTCTGCTTATGTGTCTGTGTTAGGGTATGTGTATGTGCATGCAAGTGCCCTTAGAAGCCAGAGGCATGGGATCTTCTTGGAGCTGGAGTTAGAGGCCTTTGTGAGTCACCTGGTGTGGGTGCTAAGATGCAAAATCTGGTACTCTACAAAATCAGTATGCACCCTTAAATGCTGACCCCTATATCTGGCCCCCAAAATTAATTTTTAATATTCGTGTAAAAGTAATGGGTTTCATCATGGATTTTTCATACGTATATGCTGTTCAGCTTTGCTTTAATTCTACCAAAAGCAATTTATAGATTCAATGCAATTCCAATCAAAATCCCCCATGACATTCTTCACAGAATTAGAAAAAAAATCATAAATTCATATGGAGTCACAAAAGAATAGTCAAAGCAATCCTGAGTACAAAGATCAAGGCTTGGGGATTATCATAACAGATCTCAAACTACATTACAGAGTCATAACCATTAAAACAGCATGGTACTGGAACAGTAATAGAGACATAGATCAATGGAACATAATTGAAGACCCACACGTGAGTACATGCAATTTCAGCCACCTGCTCTCTGAGAAAGGTGCCAAGAACACGCATTGAAGGAAAGACAACATCTTCAACAAACGGTGCTGGCAACACTGGATCTCCACCTATAGAAGAATGAAACTAAAGCCCTATCTTTCACCTTGCACAAAAGTCAACTCCACATGGATCAAATACCTCAATGTGAAACCTGAAACTCTAAAACAGAAGAAAATATTGGCAATAACTTACAAGATAGAGGAGTAGAAAAGGACTTTCTAAATCGGATATCAGTTGCTCAGGAATTAAGGTCAATAATCAACAAGTGGGACCTCATCAAACTAAAAAGCTTCTGTACAGCAAAAGAAACAATCCAGAAAAAACCCACAGAATGGGAGAAAATCCTCACCAGCAACACATCTGATAGAGTTTTAACATCTAGAATGTATCAAGAACTCAAAAAACAAAGAATCAAGAAAAAAAATGACCAAATTAAAAGATGGGCTATGGATTTGAACAGAGTTCTCCAAAGAAAAATAAAGATGACTAAGAAACATCTTAAAAGTGTTCAAGACATCTGGGGACACTAACTTGACTTGCTAGGCTTTAACACAAATGACAAAATGCATGAAATCCAATAGAGGGGTATGGGAGAGTTTCAATGGGGAAAGGGGTATAAAGTTGATTAAGATATTCTGTATGAAATACACAAAAATTCAATAAAACATCACAAAAAAGGAGCTTCGAACTCACAAAGATCTGCCTACCTCTGCCTCCCAAGTGCTGGGATTAAAGGCGTGCACCACCACGCCCAGTGTTTCTTTTCATTTTTTAACTTTAACCACTTCAATCTATTTGTTCTTCCAAAGAGGACTGAGGATACTTACAGCATTTCAGAGTTTCCTAGCAGTTCAACAACATCTTTCTTTTAAGTTTGAAAAAACTACACATTTTATTGTGTTTTATTTAGTTGTGAAAACAACTCAGATCCCCCCAAATAGGTGTTATTTAAATTTTCTATAGTGAGATTTAAGCAATTTAAGTATTGCATCTATTTTTCATATTCTATTATTGCATTTATTATTTTTATTTTATGTGTATGCGTGTATTGCCTGCATTTAGGTAAGTGCACCCATGTTGTACAATGCCTGTGGAGGACAGAAGAGGCTATCAGATCCCCTGGAACTGGAGTTACGGACAATTGTTAGCTGCCATGTGGGTTCTGGGATTCGAACCTGGGTCTTCTGCAAGAACAACCAACTGCTGAGCCATCTCTCTAGCCCCCACATGTATTTTTTACTTAAATACTTTATTATTTTTTAATGTGTATGAGTGTATTGCCTGCATGTAAGTGCACCCAGGTCATGCAATTCCCCCGGAGGTCAGAAGTCGGCGTTGAATCTCCTGGAACTGGAGTTTCAGATGGTTGTTAGCCACCATGTGGGTAGTGGGATTCAAACCTGGGTACTCTGCAAGAGCAGACAGTGCTTTTAACCACTGACCTCTCCAGCCCCTCAATATTGCATGTATTTTTAAGTGGCTGCTGTTGATCATTTTGGTTTAGTTTCTTGTGTAATAGACAATTGCCAAGACTTCTGTTGTATATAGTCTTACTTTGATTGTAATTACAACTATTTTACCCAGTTCCTCCAAACAGAATAAATTAAATGAACATATATGCTCATTATTAAGAAACTGGGGGCTGGAGAGATGGTTCAGAGATTAAGAGAACTGACTGCTCTTGCAAAGGACCCAGGGCTTAACGACCACCTGTAACGTCAGGAGATCCGATGCCCTCTTCTGACAGGACAAGCGTGCACCTACCTTCATGCAAGCAAGCAAGACATTCGTACACATAAAATAAAAATAAAATACAAAAAAAAAAGAAATCAAATACTACTATAAGCAGTTTCTTGCCCTATCCCTAATTCCTACTAATGGACAATCACTTTAAAGTTATTTTTTTTTTGTAGTGATTTTAGATTGACAGAAGAGTTGCAAAGATTCTGTGAGAAATTACTGCATATCTGCCAGCCAGTTTCCCCTAATGTTAAGATGTTACATAACCATGATACACTTATCAAAGGTAAGAAAATTTCATTGGAAAACTACTACCATAGTAGCTGTAGGCTTTATTCAGTTTTCACATTTTCCCACTAACATCCTTTTTCTGTTTCAGAATATAATCCAGCATTTCATATTGTACTCACTTACCATGTCTCCTAAACACCCTACAATCTGTGACAGTCTCCTCGTCTTAGCTTTAAAGACTTCTACACTTTTCAAGAGTACTGGTAATATATTTTATAAAAAGTCCGTTAATTTTGATTTGTCTGATTTAAAAAAAAATCAGATTTTTTTTTTTTGGTCTTTTTGAGACAGGGTCTTCCTGTAGCCCCAGCTGTCCTGGAACTCAATACATAACCAGGCTGGCCTTGAACTCAGAGAGAGACCCTCTGCCTCCCGATTGCTGGGATTAAAGGCATGCATCACCACAGTTTCATATCTCTATACCTATCATCTAACTATCATCTATCTATCTATCTATCTATCTATCTATCTATCTATCTATCTATCATCTATTGCATTCTGATTACTGCCACCCTCACATGAGGTCCCTTATATTTAATATCTTTTATTTATTCTTGACAATATCATACAGAATATAATCTACCTGTCTTGATCCTGTCCCTCCCCAACACTCCCAACACCTCAACAGCCCCTAACACATTGACCTTTAATCTTCACGGCCTCTACTTTTCTTCTTCTAATTCCTCTTCTACTTCTTCTTCTTCCTCCTCCCCCTCCCCCTCTCCCTCCCCTTCCTTCCCCTCCCCCTGAGATGCCGGGCCGCTACGGCGCCGGCGGAGGAGGCTCGGGGCCGGCCGCCGGGGTGGTCGTGGGCGCCGCGGGCCGAGGAGCCGGGGGCAGCCGGCAGGGCGCGCAACCGGGGGCGCAGAGGATGTACAAGCAGTCGATGGCGCAGAGAGCGCGGACCATGGCCCTCTACAACCCCATCCCTGTCCGCCAGAACTGCCTCACGGTCAACCGCTCCCTGTTCCTCTTCAGCGAAGACAACGTGGTGAGAAAATACGCCAAAAAGATCACGGAATGGCCATATCCTTTGCCCCGAGCCTGGGCAGCTGCGCCTCCCCTCCTCCCCTTCCTCCTCCTCCCCCTCCTCCCCCTCCCCCTCCTCCTCCTCCTCTTCCTCCTCCTCCTCTTCCTTTTTCTTCTTCTTCTTCTTTAACTGGAATCCAATTAGTGCTGCCTGCTGGAATGTGGACAGATCCTTTTGACTTAATCTTCTGTGGGTCTCTATGGGTAATCATAGCTGCATTGAATTCATGAGTGCTATGGGCATGTCGTCATGTCCAGAAGGCAGCATTTCCCAGGACTCTTCCTCATCCTCCATTCTTACATTCTTTCTGCATCCCTTCCTTGATATTTGATATAGATATCCAGTTTAGGGCTGAACATTCAAGAGTCACTTATTCTCAGCACTTTGACCAGTTTTGAGTCACTCTGTTAACTGCTACCCACTGCAGAAAGAAATTTTTCTGGCCAAGGAAAGGGCAGCACTGTATTAGTCAGGGTTCTCTAGAGGAACAGAACTGACAAAATGAGTATATACTAAAAGAATCTATTAATCTGATTACTTCAAAATTGTAACTACGGCTGAATCATACCTGAGAGGCTGAACCTGTAGTTTCTCTTTCTTGAGGCTGGGTGGGGGCCTCAGCAACTGGAGGAGTTCCACAGTGGCCGTCGGGTGGGGGCCTCAGCAACTGGAGGAGTTCCACAGTGGCCGTCTACACTGAAGAGATCAAGATCCTGGTAGTTGCTCAGTCAGTGGGCTAGGTGCCTCAGCAGCCCCAATTTGGTACAAAAACTTGGAGGATTCCTGAAGAGCCACTGGTCCTCGATCAATGGTCAGTGAGAGAAGCCTGGAAACATTGGTCCCGATGTCAGCAAAGGAATCATCTTTCACAGGAATAGGATAGATCAACTCGGTGGCTGGAGGGCAGGCCAAACAAACAGAAGATGAACAATCATCCTTCTACCATGTCTCTTTTTATCTGGGCTGCTACTAGAGGGTGCCACTCACATTTAGGGTGAGTCTTCCCATATCAGTTTAAGCAATCAGGACAATTCTTCAGTTGAGGCTCCCTACTCAGGTAATTCTAATTTGTGGCAAGTTGCCTTTAAAACCAACCATCACAAGCACTAATCTATATGTATAAACATAAATATTTAGAAGGTAGTTTGACATGTCCATTTAGCAAGACAACAGTAATTGGTGCCCCACCCCCACCCCCAGGCCCTATGACCTCCTGAGCTATGGGCTTTTGACCAGGTTTACAGTACCATGCATGGATTCCCTCCTGTGGCCTCAAATTTAATCTTTATGCCATTTTTGTACCACTGAGCACATCTTGTCTGGCAGGTCAGTATTGTAGCATTGATAGTCAGGTGACTAGGTAACATCATTGATATCTTGTCTCTCTCAGGGTCCTGCATAGCACCTTCCAGAACCATGAAAGTAAGCAAGCAGAGAGGGAGTCTCCCAGTCCAAGTGATTTCTCTATGTCCTGAAACCAAAGTATATGGTGTCATCAGCAACAGGGTTTTACTACCTAGTTATGATGGGCAACCAAGAATAATGGCAATAGCTTGTGTTGTTTGAGAGGCCTTTGGGACATCTTTGATCAATAACTCATAAAGAGATAGCCCAGGCCTGGCACAGAAAATTTCATTTAGTAATCCATGTCTTCTGGAGACATGACTTGGTTGAAGCAACCCCACCCATCACATTCCATCAGTGGGGAAATCTGTCACTGTGGTGTTAACTTTTAATGCTTGGCTATGTTCCACTTAAGAACTATTTTCTCATAAATCATTCTAATTAATTAATAAGACACTATTATTTTCTTTTTTAAAGTATTTCATTACTTTTGTTTTATGTGAATGAGTGTATTGCCTGCATGTATGTGAGTGCACCCGTGTGTAGGTTAGAAGATGGCAGCGGATTCCCCTGGAACTGGAGTTAAGGACGGTTGGAGCTGCCACGTGGGCACTGGGGAGCTGCTACACGGGTGCTTGGGAGCTGCTACGTGGGTGCTGGGAATCGAACCCGGGTCCTCTGCAAGAACAGTTAGTGCTCTTAACTACTGAGCCATCTCTCTGGCCCCACACGATTGTTCTCTTTAGTTTTTAGGCACAGTATTCAACTTTGGTCCTTCGTAAGTACAGCATAGGGCATATTGTAAATGCCTAAATGACACTGGTCTTGTGAGAAGTAAGGAAAAGGTAGTCCAGGTAAACATCATCTTATGCAAAAGATAGATCAGCTCTTCTGAAATTTTAATATACATTTCAAACACCTGGAGATCCTGTAAGAGACAGAGCCAGTCAGCAGGTCTGAGGTAGAACTGGAAATCAGAACTTCAAATGAGTTCCTAGGTTACCTCACTTTATCAATGCTTATATCCATTTTGCTAGGAAGAAAACTAAGGTTCAGAAGGCTCTAATGCATATCCCAAAGTCATAGTTTACTTAGTCAATGACAGAGAATGCAGTTCTGAATGGCAAACTTTAATTAACCAATCTAAAAAATTCTTTCATCCTCATCCTTATGGCTATTTATTTATTTATTTATTTATTGTCTTTAAGACAGAGTTTTCCTATAGCCCCTGCTGTCCTGGAACTCACTAAACAGATCACACTGGCTTTGATCTAACAGTGATTTGCCTGTCTTTGCCTCCAGACTGCTGGGATTAAAGGCATGTGCCACCAACACTCTATTATTAGGCAAACTTTCTAACAGTTCAATCCTTTTGTCAAAAAGTTTAAAAAATATATATCTAGCTGGGCATGGTGGCACACGACTTTAATCTCAGCACTTGGGAGGCAGAGGCAGGAGGATCTTTGTGAGTTCGAGGCCAGCCTGGTCTACATAGTGAGTTCCAGGACAGTTGGGGCTACAAGGAGACCCTGTCTCAAAAAGACAAAAAAAAAATCTATCTCTCTCTCTATCTATCTATCTGTCTATCATCTATCTTTTCTGAAATCAGAGTGTTTTATTTGTGATCTTCCAGAAGAAGGTTTTCATGAAGCAATCAACTCCAAGAGTTTACTTTTCTTCTCCATTGGATCTGATGATTTTCTGGCATGAAATAGCAAAGTCGCTGAATTAGCATTGGTGGTGGGGGTGGGCTGGGCAAGGTGGTAGAGAATCAGTCTCATGCTTACTAAAGTTAGGTAGCATTGCTTTAGCATTAAAAGAGTTGGCTAATTAGAGCACATCAAGAGATCCTGGGCTTAGGGCTTTTTTCTTGTGTAGTCACTTGTTCCTTCAGAGGAGACTTGGATACCTGCCTGTTTCAGGTGCTCGATGCATAGACCCTGGTATTGGACAAAGGTAACTAGACGCTGGGAAAATGAAGTAAGGAGAAAAAAAATGTTTTCATAGTTATGGATCGATCTTAATTTCAGTTATTCTGATTTTCATAGACACCTGCCTATAATACAGCAAAAATAGTTATTTTTATACTTACAGTAAAGCACAAGTAATTTTTTTGTACATGTAGGTCCACAGATTAGAAGAATTAAAAATTCTAGTACCAAAACTTTTGAGTGTTGGATAGTTCAACTGGCATGGGATAAAATAAACCTCGCGGGGGGGGGGGGGGGGGGGGAAGGGAAAAAAACCATACTGTTGTCAGAACTGGGACTTGACCCCACGCCTCCAGTGGAGGCTGCGCCTCGAACGCAGGGCTTTAAACCGCTTGGCTATCCTGACTTCCCTAGTTTTACGTTCCTTTTTCTCCTTCCAAATTCTTTAGTATTTCGTCTAGTCACTGCTTTCGTGACTTGACCCCACGCCTCCAGTGGAGGCTGCGCCCCGAACGCAGGGCTTTAAACCGCTTGGCCATCCTGACTTCCCTAGTCTTACAGTCCTTTTTCTCCTTCCAAATTCTTTAGTATTTCGTCTAGTCACTGCTTTCGTCTATTCACTGCTTCGAATTCTCCCTGAATATTTATACAAAGTAGAAAAGTGAAACTCACCGACAGGTTTTTCCTGTTTTCTATTCCCTCATCACTTTAAACCTTAAATTTACATCAGAGGGGCCGGTTCAGGCCATCGCGGGTCTCTTAAAAGCCAGTCTTCCCCTCATTTCCTGTTCTAAATCGCCTTACGGAAGTGCGTACCCAGTGGACTCGGAGCTGGAAACGTGGGGCTGCGAGGGGAGCAGGGCTGAGAAGAGGCGGGGGCGTCCTCGGTGGAGCTCAGTCAAGCTTTTTCACCAGGTTGGGCGTGGTGCGGACCCTTTCGCTTAGCACAGGGATGGTTAATATTTTTGCTTTCGGAAATCGAAAAAAAAAAAAAAAAAAAAAAAAAAAAAAATCATGATGCGCGTAGTTAAAATTTAAAATTCTCGCTACTTAGTGTGTGGCGTTGGTGGTATAGTGGTGAGCATAGCTGCCTTCCAAGCAGTTGACCCGGGTTCGATTCCCGGCCAACGCAATAAAGTACGTCTTTTTTTCTTTTTCCTTTCCAAACCTTCTAGAGAGCAAAAGTTACTCTTCACAGTGTATTTTATCTGTATGAAACCAGTTCAGCTAAATTTTGTCCATAGTAAACTTTTGAAGTCATTCTATCTCTTCCTTTTTAAACTTTCAACTCTTTAGAATCTATGGGATTTTCTGAATCTGAGATCTCTTGTCAGAATCTCAGCGTCGGGCAGGGATTCTAATTGCTCGGTTCATATAGTAGCCATGAGTCACTGAGCATTTCAAACTGGTTGGTGCATCTAACACATCGTGTTTTCAAATTAAATTTTAATTTACAAATTAATTGAAATAAATGCACTAGTTAAGTGGAATGATTAAATGAAAAATGTAAATAGGTACTCAATTCAGCTATTGGTACGATTGGAAAAACGGGCGTATGTGTATTTTTTGATTTGTAAATTTTATGAAGTGTGTATCTATATGCTAATTGTTCTCCTTGTTAAAATTTAACGTGATAGTATGCCATAAGTGTAAAATACATTCCAGAATTCGAAGACTAAGAAACAAATCTAATTAATAATTTTTATACTGATTGTATGTTGAAATAATTTTTGGATGCTTCAGACTAAACAGGATTTTTAAAAATTATTACGTCTCTTTTTGATTAAATGTGTTCTTTAGCAAGTGCATGCCTGTATATAATGCATTCTGTTTACTCTCACCTCCCTTACCCCACCCCAACGATTCCTCCCTTCTTCCTACAATCCCTTTCCCACTTTCATGACTTTTTGTTTTGTTTTGTGACCCACTGATTTTAAGTAGGAACCAGTTTCTTTATATTGTTTTATTTAGCTATTAGAGAACTGGCTAAATTTATTTTTCATATTATGTTTCTACTGTATTGTGAGAATGTATACAGTGACATAATTTTGTCCGTAAACAACCACCTCTTAAATCCAATAGTAACTTTCTTGAGTAAAGGTTTGAAACCCTAACCTACGGTTGTCCTCGTTAGTATAGTGGTGAGTATCCCCGCCTGTCACGCGGGAGACCGGGGTTCGATTCCCCGACGGGGAGACGTAGTGTTTGTTTTCCCTTACTATCCTGTTCCAGCTTAATCACTCTTATGTAACTATAAAGTTTAGATTTCGAAAGTACTACTCTCTTTCTAACCAAGTTGGGGGTGGGAAGTAGGGCCAGACTGTTGAGTAAGTACTTGTTTTAACCCTGGCTCATACTTAAAACCCTGGGCGTCCAAATCACCGCCTTTCCTTCTCCAAAGGAAGGTGGCACCGTCTTTCTCTTCAGCATGTAGCAGTTCAGCAGTAGCCAGCCCTGGTTCACAAGTCCAGGCTTCTTTCCACTGCTGCACTACAGGTGTGTAGGCTTGGGAAACAGTCACCCCTGCAGGCGATGATGGGGATAGCAAAGATGTCCTTTCTGAACCCAGGGAAGATCTGAAAATCAGGGGGACCTTTTGTTTTATTGTTGCTGTTTTAAATTACTGTGAGCTTTTGATTTCTGCATCCATAAAACCAAGGAGGCACTTCGAACTCCACAATCCTTTAGACCCTATGAAGTTTTCAAGTAGAGGCCTATACTAGGAAGAGTGTGATTTTTACAGTCCAACAGATTTTTAATCTCAGATATTTTACTTAACTAGCTCTTTGACCAATGGTTCAATCTTTTTGAGCCTCAGTTTCAACATTCTTTTAATCACTTCATTGCCTTAGGCTAGATAGCTACATCACACTTAAAAAAACAACAACAAATGTCCTATTTCCAAACATTTATGGTGTTTCCAGTGTTTTTTCTGTCTCTTCTGGTAAGGCTGTGTGTGTGTGTGTGTGTGTGTGTGTGTGAATCATACCTATTTTGAATGGTTGCTTCACGTGTGAAAGGTTATAATACACGTCAAAGAACCTGGCACATAGTATACAGTCACTTTGGAAAAAATATTAATTTTTCCGTATAAAAGAGTAATGCATATTTCTTGCATAAAAATAGAGAACAAACAAATTAAAAACAAATGAAAGGCACCCCACTACTGGAAATCACCCATTCATGTTTTGCTGAGTATCTTTTCGGTACTTGTTTTTGGAGCCAGAAAAAATGCATAGGGTCTACTGCATGCTAGACAAGTGCTCTATACTGAGCTACATCTCCAGCTCTCTTGGGCTTTTTTTCTTTTTTGGGGGGCCATATATTGAAAAAGTTGGAATAAAACTGTACATATTGTTTGCTTTTTTATAGGGTTTATTTTTAAGAGCTGTCTTAGGTTCACAACAAAACAGAGAGAAAATTACAGAGGTTTTCTCTTTACTGCCTATACTCACACAGGTACAGCCTCTCCCATAGCAATGTCTGGCAACAGAGTGATAAATTTGATATAGGTGATGAGCTATACTGGCACATCTTAAGCACCCAAAGATATGGTTTCATTGGTTTACTTTTAGTATTGTACATTGTATGGATGTGGACAAATGTATCATGACATTTTTTTTAGCCTGCTTGACTTTTTACCTAGATTTGTTCTATTTCTACAATCATTAAATAGTAACCTAAAATATTCTCTAGATCATTTCATTGTGTTAGGCTATATGGCTACATCATAATTTTTTAAAAATCAAGTTTTGGCCTGGCATTGTGGTTCAAGCCTTTAGTCCCACCACTTGGGAGGCAAAGGCAGGTGGATCTTTGTGAGTTCAAGGCCAGCCTGGTCTACATAGTGAGTTCAGGTCAGCAGGGACTACAGGGAGACCCTGTCTCAAAAAGACAAAAAAAGAAAAAAAAAAAAAATCAAGTCTCTTAGTTTTGAGCATTTATGTTGTTTCTGGTGTTTTCCTACCTCCTCTGCTGAAACCTCTGCCTCCCGGGTGCTGGGATTAAAGGCGTGCACCACCAGGCCCAGTTTATTCTTTTTTCTTAACTTCTCTTGGTTTGCTGCTGTCATACCCACACGAAATGAAGTATAGGAAATGTATATATGTTCAAAATAAGCAAGAAAGCAATTATTTAAAAATTTTCTGCAGGCAGGGGCATGGTGGCACACACCTTTAATCCCAGCACTCTGTGAGGTTGAGGTCAGCTTGGTCTACATAGCAAATTCCAGGCCAGCTGGGGCTACAGAGAGACTCTGTCTCAAAAAGACCAGAAACATAAACAAAATCTTTCTGCTATCAATCTAACAAAGGAAGTGAGGTTTAGTGTAATCATTCCCAAATGTGGACTTCATAGATAAGCAAAAACGTTCTCTAAATGCCGGTTAACAATAAAGGATGGTCAACTTTTTATTTTGCCAAGTTAGAACATTAATAAAAGAGTCCTACCCCAAATTATTATCTAATCGTAATTTTATAAAAGAAAAGACATTTAACAAGGCCTGTAATCCCAACATTTGGGAAACTGCAAGTTCAAGGCCAGCGTGAGCTACATGGCGAACCCTTTCTAAGCCCCTCTCCCCCCCAAAAGGCATTTCAAAGCAAAAATCCAAAGTGTGAAAACAAACTCTGTTTAAAGGTTTTGTAGAGCTGGGCGTGGTGGCGCACACCTTTAATCCCAGAATTCGGGAGGCAGAGACAGGCGGGTCTCTGGAAGTTCCGGGCCCGCTGGGGCTGCCGGGAGACCCTGTCTCAAAAAGACCTAAAAGACCCCAAACCAGTTGATGTTACTTTTGCCTTAAGAGCCCTTACTTAGATCTTACTTTTCGCCAGACATGACTGGACACGTGATTATAATTTTAAAAACGAATTAATTGTGAATCAGTACTTAACGCATATGCAAATTTGCATACACAAATTCCCAGTCACAAAATTATTGACATGTTTCTGAGCAAAACCAACTGAACTCTAAGCCCTCAGAAAGCATCCATTTTGAATTTCCCAAAGACTCTTCCCTCGTTTATCCACTTCTGCTCCTCTTCTTTTAGCCTCAGTGGGTACAGCCTGGTACGTAGACTGAAGCTGGTGTCCTTTCTTATTTGCTGGTGTCCTTATTTACGACGGGATGCTCCCGGTCCCTACGTCAATCTCGTCTATAGGTTTTTACAGAGAACTACCAATTTAGTCTTTAGAGAACTGACTTGACAGCCAAACACCCCACCGCCTGTCTCTGTGGCGCAATCGGTTAGCGCGTTCGGCTGTTAACCGAAAGGTTGGTGGTTCGAGCCCACCCAGGGACGAAACTGAGTGTTTTGTGTATCTTGTGCAACCTTGACTGTTGCCCTAGAAACGGCCTTAGTTGCTGCTAACCACTAGAGAAAGCCCTACCCTTCTTAAAGGTTGTGGTTTTCAGTCTACGTTTGTATTTTGCTAGCAGTTTGCGCGATCACGGTTGCATGAAATTGCATCAGCTTTGCAGATTTAACTCTGAAATTGCATCAGCGCTTTCCGGAACTTTATTGCCCAAAGGACGTTCAGTACTAATGATTCAAAGACAACTTCTTAATCTCTCTCCCAACAAACCTGTGTCTGCCTTGCCTCCGTATTTCCCGACTCCTAGTCTAGGGCTGACAGTTCTTGGAGAGTGCGTCTTGTAACCCAGGATGCCTGCCTCGGCTGCGCGTTGCGGCTTCTCAGTGCTTCCTGGATCACTGCCTCACCTCTAGGGGGTTCCCTTCTTCAGTTCTTTGGCTGGATTCCGGGAGCTACAGAGAATCCCTCTACACTGCAAACCTGATCTGCTTAAACTCCCTCAGTAACTTGCAGAGCCTGACACAATTTCTTTAGCCTGGGCAGCAATCCCTTTCAGGACGTGGCCCCAGAACGCTCCCTTCTCCCTCACTGGCTCTTTTGGGCTCAACAGAACCGAACTGTTCTTAAACTCATAGTTTAAGATCGTTGCCCATGGACCTTCAGCTTTTCTCTTGCCTGCAAACTCCGCCTCCCCCCATCCTGCTGGTCACACCCCAAAAGAAACTTCTCTGACTCGCTTTCTTTACTCTCCTGCTACCTATCTGTTTCTCTCACTAGAATGAAAGTTTGTGGATCGAGCGGATGAGCCAATGTTCATCTGATCTCTTCAGCACCTACATTCAGCTTTGGCACATTGTATGTAAGGCAAGTATAGAGACAGTTTTGTACCCTGAAACCTCAATTTGATTTTGGGTTATGCACACCTTCCTTGTAATAATGCGCTTGAAGTGTAGTTCTTTCACCTGAATGTACTATACACATCCCTCTCCAGACAATACACTTAGCAACCTCAGAACCCCCTTGACCTGTAGCACGCTACACTGCTTCCATCTGTGAACGAAATATGCTTCTCCACCCTTGGTGGCAATTAAATTTAGACAGTTTTTATTTAAGTATATTTCCAATGTATCTTGGTATGAAGAATAGAGGAATTGGATTGGGGTGCATAACCAGTAAGAAAAAAACTGTCCTCCAGTTATCTTTTAGGGAGAATCCCCTATTTACCACCTTAAGTCCTTCCATAATTTGGAGTGCAGATGATTAAAATCAGATGCATTATGGGAAGGAATATGCACATAGGAAAAATAAATATATGACCTAATCTATCAATCAAAATAGAGAACCAGGCTGGAGAGATGGCTCAGTGATTAAGAGGACTGGTTGCTCTTGCAGAGGACCCAGGGTTTGATTCCCAGCATTCACATGGTGGCTAACAACTGCCCATAACTCCATCCCCAGGGGATCTGATGCCTTCTTTTGACCTCTGCAGGCATTGCACGACACGGGTACGCTTACATACATATAGGCAATACAATCATACACATAAAAAATAAAAAATAAAATATTTCAAAAACAAAATAGAGAACCACCCAAACTATGCCCTTAGTAACCAATTCCCCCTCTCTTGAACCTCATAAAAGGAAGCTTGAACACTAATGGGGCCCTTGAATGATCTCATTCATGTGGCCCACTGTTGACAGTGTATCCCTCTATAAACTGTACTATCAATTTTCTCATAATAAAGTTATTTTGCTTCTTTTGCAAATCTATTCAAGGAGTCCTTATTGCCAATTCTTTGGATAAGAGGCCAAGAATCCAGAAACACCCATCCTAGACACTGACCACCAGTCACATAGGCACTAAATAAATCTAAACCAAATGTCCAAGGTTTCACATTGCACTTCTCTTTGGTTTAGGTCTCATCTAAGAGTTATACATTTAGCTTGAATCGTTTTGATATATAGTGTAGAGACTCAGGTCTGCTGGTGGATGGCAAAATGAGTTGAGGCAAAAGACTCAACCCTCAGGGGAAGAAGAGTGAGTTTAATTCTTTAGCAGTGCTTTTTTATACTCTCAAAACTATAGTCACAAGCTTGGTGTTTGTGCCAGAATACATGAAAGAATTAGTTTCACAAAGAACAAAACACATTCTACAGGTTTACATTTAAAGTTAATCAGTAGGCTACAAAGAATATATTAGTTTCTTACACAATCTATAGATTTTGACAATTTCCAGGAAGGCTAAGTCAGCTGGTGATTATATTTAACATTAAATAGACATCCTGTGTCTTGCAGTACAATGACTTAGATTTATGATGCTTTCTCTGATCTATGACTAAGACAGTGTTCCGCCAAGTCCAGCATTCTTGTTCTCAAGAAATGTCCAGACTTTGTTCCTGACCATTCTTACCCTCTTCCTTGCTATTCTCCTTCACACAGTTTCTAATTCACAAAATTAAGCTGACCCCCTGCTTCTGCCTGGACCCCTACCTCCTGCCTCTCCCTCTCTGTGGCTTCTCCTACGAGCACCTAAACACTGTAATGACCTCTAATTTCCATGTACTCTCCTATCCCAAACTGTCCATTGGAAATCTGCCTTCACTCTCTCCTTTGTCTCAGAAGGATTAGAAAAGTGAGCAGGCTAATTCATGTGAGGTGAGATGAGATGGCACTGAACAAAGGGTTTCTCGTCAGTGCAAACCAGCCTCTGGCAGGATTTTGACAAATATATTGAAAAAAAGATTTTATCATTCTTATTTATTTACTTTATTTATTTATTTATTGGGTGTGCATGCACACATGAACCTTTTTTGAGACAGTATTTCTTCGCAGTTTTGCCACTGCTCTGAGCACACCAAATTAGCTGGCTGGTGCGCCTCCACCTCTCATCTCATCATGGGAGTGCTGAGAATGAGTGCTGGGATAAAAGGCATGCGCCACCATGACTGACTTTTCATGTTATGTTACCATTTTTTTTTTCCAGTCTTCTGAAATTAACAAGCAAGATCTTGTAAAAAAAAGTTTTATTGAAAGTAAGAAATGTTTTATTAAAAATACTGAAAGCAGAAAGAGATAGTCCAAGTTCTCTTTAAAATAAGCAGTCATTGCTGTCTCCATCCCCAGCCCATCGGTACTGACATACTGAGGAGATTGAAGGTTTTATGATTTAACCATGAGTGTTGGCTATCTGATATTTATTTAATGAATGATGTGAACAAAACTGTACCTGCGTTAGATAGTGAAGCAGAAAAGCTGGTTTTACAGTCCCTGTGCCTCTTCTCTCTAATTCTTGCTACTTTGGTTAACAAAGGCACCTTCGCCCCATGACCATTCCTTCCTGTGAATTTGTGGTTGACTCTTTCTTGACAGGTTTTCTCAGTTCAGATGTTGAGCTGGCTATATCTGTTCACTTAGCACATCACGGGGTTGTTCACTGCTTTCTTTTCAAACCCACATTCCACCCCTAGTCTCTAGGAGGCTAACATTATATGCCCTCAGATCATCCCAATTCTGATCAAGACTCTCCTGAACAAGTCATGCTGATGACACGTGTGCAATTGCCTACTGAGTCACTCAGCCATGGCTCCTAGTTTAGGAAGATAGACAGCATTATCTCTGGGCTCAGATGGTAGCCCTTCCCCTGGTCTGTCCTGGACTCTTTTTCTCTTTTTAAAAATATTTTTATTCTTTGACAATTATCATACATATATATATAATGCATTTTGCTAATTTTTCACCCACCATTACCCTCCCCCCGCCAACTCCCACTGAAGCCTCTCTTCTTCCCACAAGTCCCTCTTCTACTTTCAAGTCTTGTTTGTTTGTTATCACTGACTCTAATAAGGGCATGAGCATGGGTGGTAGATTATTAAGGGAGTTTGTGTAATTTACTAGTGACTATACAACTGAAGAAAGTGACTGTTCTTTCCCCAGAAACCGTTAACTGCCTATAACTGCTGAGGAAGGGGTGAGACCTCCCTTTCCCTGCTCTTCCTCAGCCATCTCCTCCGTCAGATCTGCTGCATTGCTTAGATTCCCAGAAGTTCCCACATTTGTCTGGAAGGAATTTGGGAGTCTCCTAAAGGCAACCAGCCTTGCAGCAACAGATGCAGACCACTGTCCACTAACCCTGCCTCAACCATTCAAACAAACGCAGACCACTAATCTTGCCTCAACCATTCATTCATGTTTCTACTTATCTGTTTATTTAGGAAACATTGTTGAACATGGAAAGGGTCATCACCCAAAGCCCATGCTCCTGTTTTGCTTTTAGGGAATGGTTGGCACAGAGGAAACCTAGAACTTTGAGACATCTGTTCCTGGAAGGGCAGCTACCTACTCACTGGGGCTTCGTGCTTGGCCCTTGAAGATCCCACACCTTTCCTTTCCATTCAGACCATCCATTGGAGACAAAAAGAAACAGAGGAGGGGCCCTTCCTTGTATTTTTCCTGTGGCTTGAGGACATGCCTAATGCAGATGATGAGGATGCAAATCCTGAGTGAGGTTCCTAGTTGCTACACCCTTGCACTTATTACCCTGTAGGGAAAGGGATCACTTGTCCTGAGGGTCTCGGTTCCATTGAAATTTGGATTCCTTCCAGCTTTTCATTGAACTTCGCAGGTTCCTCTGCACAAAGAAATACAGCACCGTGTCTACTACAAACATGAGTCCTATCAGCAGGCAGAAAGTGATTTGATGCCATGGAGGGAAACCCACTGTGATGGATGGAGATGTTGGACCTAGTAGCAGAAATAGAGGTGAGAAAAATGACCATCAGTAAGCCAGAAATTTGGAATAAATAATGAGGTTACCAGTAGGCAGTATTCTTGATACCTGCTAAGAATCAGGTTCTAGAAAATGAATGGTGGGGGACCCTGAGGGAGTTCTTTGCTCCCTTCTACTGAATCTCCATCTTAATGCAACCTGGGTGGAGCTCAGTAGATCAGATGCCTACTCCTAGCATCTGCTTGTTAGGCAGGGTACAAAAAGAGCATTCAGCAAGGTAAATTGTCTATAGGCTTTACATGACAGTTATGAAATTGTTAGACAATATTTAGAAGATGGATAAATTTGTGGATTTTAATTTCAATTTTTTCAATTGAAAATTTATATAACCAGGTGCGGTGGTGCACATCTTTAAGCCCAGCACTCAGGAGGCAGAGGCAGGTAGATCTCTGTGATATCGAGATCAGCTTGGTCTCCATAGCAAGTTCCAAGCTAGTTGGGGCTACAGGGAGACCCTGTCTCAAAAAAGAAAAAAAATTGTATGTGTGTGTGCATATGTATGGGTGCAAGTGTGTGCTGACATATGCAGGCCAGAGGACAACCTTGGGTGTCATTCACCTCTTTGAGACAGTGTGCTGGTTAGTTTGTATTGTCAACTTGATACAGCCTAGAGTCACTTGGAAAGAGGGGACCTCAAATGAGAAATTTCCCAGATCCAACTGGCCTCTGTGAATGTTTTGATTGATGATGTGAGAGGACCTAGCCCTCTGTGGACAGCAACATTCCTGGGCAGGTGGGCCTCGGCTGTATAGGAAAGCTAGTTAAGGGGGTGGAGAGATGGTCAGCACTTAAGAGCACTGGCTGCTCTTGCAGAGGACCTAGATTGGGTTCCCAGCACCTGCATGGCGACTAACAACCATCTGTAACTCCAGTTCCAGGGGATCTGACACTTTCTTCTGACCTCCACAGGCATTGCATACACATGTAGGTGCACTTGGATACATGTAAGAGAAACACTCATACACATAAAATTCAAAGTTTAAAAGATAAAGAAAAAGAAAGCTAGCTGAGAACGAGCCAGAGAGTGAGTCAGTAATCAGTGTTCCTCCATGGTTTCTGCCTCAGTTTCTGCCTTGAGTTCCTGCCCTGACTTCCCTCAATGACGGACTATGACTTGGAAGTGTAAGCTGAAATAAGCCCTTTCCTCCCCAAAGTTGCTTCTAGGTGTGGCTGCCCCAGGGATCCCTTGTTTCCACCTTTCCAGTGTTGGGATTACAAGTGCATGAGCACACTACCATACCTGGCATTTTATGTGCATTCTGGGGATCTAACTCAGGCCCTCATGTTTGCAAGGAAGGACTTTAGGACTGACTGAGCTATCTCTTCAGCCCTAGTTTTAATGTTTTACTTTAAAATTTTGATATAGTTTATCAATTTGCCAGAATAGTATAAAGAACTCTCACGTCTTTTATGTAGATTCTCTCATTGTTTCATTTTGACCTGCTGGTTTCAGCATTTTCCCCTAACCTTTTGAGAATACAATAGGCCCTTCTTATCTGTGTGAACTTAAGATAAAAATTTGAAAAGGGCCTGTGAGATGGCTCAGTGTGTAAAGTCTCTTACTACCAAGTCAGATAACCTGACATTCCCAGAACCAATTTAGTGGAAAGAGAAAACCAACTCCCACACTCCCACAAGCTGTCCTCTGACCTCCACATGGGCCACTTACACCCTTGAGTGGCACACAGACACACACACACACACACACACACACACACTTTAATAATAATAAATAAAAGCAAAACAAAACAACAATAAAAACAACAAGGCAAAACAACTCGCCCCCCCTCCCCCCAAAAAAAACCCCTGAAAACCAAAGTTTGATGCTGGATATTGGTGACTGTTCTATTCTCTCATTTTATTTAATAGTTACGTATGCAGGTTTTGAAGACTTATTGTACCTCACTTACTTCATCTGTAAAATGCTGCCAATCTTACCTATCATAACATTATGAAGTTGACTGTGATAGTCAAACGAGGTAAAGAAGCTAGCACATTGTAAATCTGGTATGATGTCACATGCCTGTAACACCAGTACTCAAAAGAGGCTGAGGCAGGAGGATCATGAGTTCAAGACCAGCCTGGGTTATCCAGGACAACCTTAGTTACACAGTAAGATTCTACCTACAAAACAAAGCACAAAAACTAAAAACTATTGGGGCCAGCTAGATGGCTCAGTGGGTAAAGGCTCTTGCTGACAAGATGCCTGACTGCCTTAATATACTCCCCAGGACCCACACAGTGGAAGGAGAGAACCAGCTCCTGTAACTTGTACTCTGACCTCCACAAGCATGTTGTGGCATGCACACTCATACTCGTACACATACACACACATGCATACAAACACTAAATAAAGTAATAGTAATAAAAACTAGCACATCATAAAGGTGCTGAATAACTCTCACCTTGGACAATGATCTTCACAGTGTCTGAAGACTTGTTGTTACGCCCGATCATCCCTCTGCAGAAGTAGGAGCCACTGTGATCCTGTGTAGCTTCTGGGATGTAGAATTCAGAATTCTGAGGAAAATACCTCTTGCTTTTGCCATTTTGCAAATACATGACCTTGTATACCGGCTTATTCCTCCAGCTGTGGCATTTCAGACGAATGGGCTCCCCCTCCTGGAACACCCACTGAGAGGTCTGGAGCAACAACCAGCCTGAAAGACACAGAGACTCAATGCAGAGCTCCTATGAAGAGGAGCTCCCCACCTTTATGATTGATCCTGGGATGCAATGAAAGCCAGACTGAGAACCATCCTACATAGCTCCCTTTGGGAAGAAGGTGGCTGGGCCTGCCAGAGAACTCAGATTATACCATGACCTTGTCCAAGGCAGAAGAGGGACATATACACAAATGATCAAAGTTAGAGTGAGGAACTAAAAATGAAGGGGGAAGCAAAGTTGAGGATGTCTGTAGGACCCGTAAGCACTAGACTTGGATTTGCTTTGACAGATGATAAGGAATGACAGCAAGTTCTAGACCAAAGGGTAAAAATTACATTTGAAAATGATTTGCCACATTTTTAAAAAGGCTAGATTTCAGGGGCCGGAGAGATGGTTCAATGGTTAATTTAAGAGCCATGGCTGCTCTTCCCAAGGCCTCAGTTTCAGTTCCCAGCACCCACATGATGACTAACAACTTTATGTAACAGGGGATTCGAGGCTTTATTCTGACCTCTGTGGGCACTGCATGCATGGGGGTACTTATATACATGCAGGCAAAACACTCATACACATTAAAGAAAAGCACAAAAAAGTTAGATTTCAAAAGAAATAGGCAACTATAAGAATACCGGAAGATTCTTGCATTGGTCAGGACACTGGGTGTCCAGAGGAGTGGCTACAGACAGCACTAAGTGTAAAAGTCAGGGAGGGAGGGAGGAAGTGGGGAGGGGGAGAGGAAGGGGGAAGAAAAAGAGGAAGGGAGGGAGGGAGGGAAAGAGGCAGGGGTGAGTATCAGCTCTCATGGTCATCCCAGCTGTGGGGCCACAGTGAGACCATTTTCATGACAAAGCATGACTTTCAAGAGAGAAAATCTTATATCACTATGAAGCCTGTTCTTACAACCATCTCATCGAGTAATAAAACTCCATACAGAGAAAATATGAAGTTATGGTAGAAGGGGACCCTGGAAAATAAAAATGATATGTCAAATAAATATTATGATAGTTGGCCGGGTGTGGTGGCACACGCCTTTAATCCCAGCACTCGGGAGGCAGAGGCAGGTAGATTTCTGTGAGTTCAAGGCCAGCCTGGTCTACATAGTGAGTTCCAGCTCAGCTACGGCTACAGGGAGACCCTGTCTCAAAAAGACCAAATATATATATATAATGATAGCAGGGGAAATATTGAGATAATGTTAAGCGCATAGAAAAAAGGAAGGGTGTGTATTTGAATATGTGTATGTATTTGAATATGCATGTGTGTATTTGAATATTAATAAGAATTTTCTCTGGGAGGAGTGGAACCAAAGATCATTTAAATTTTTCCTTTTTATTTATTTTTAAAACAGAATCCAAATGACTTTTATAGTAAGAACAATACAAAACTTATTACAATTAAGAAAATTTACTACCACATTCTAAACAAGATTGGTAGAACATCTTGGTGAAAATTCTTTATTGAGAAGACTTGCCAAACAGAGGCAATTTCTATTACTCATATAGATTATCATTTATCAGTCAAGCCAGTACACAGGAGACTAAGGCAAGAGAATCATGAGTTCAAGGCCAGCCTAGGCTACATAGTGAGTTCCAGGCAAGCCTGGACTATATGGTCCCTATTACTAAAAATCCTCCAAACCAACCAACAAACAAAAAGTGCCCCCAAAGAAGCAAACAAACAAACAAAAAAAAAGAATTAAAAAATTAAGAAGGCATAGCATTTGTCAAAAATGCCATATGTATATGTAGCCTCTTACTTTTTAAGCTAAGGAATAAACTGTTATTAGCATAAGCTTGTGATTGATATGGATATAGTTTGGTGTTGGGGGAATTTCCTTTTATTAAAATTGTATTTAAAATTTTGATTCATTTTATGTGTATGAGTGTTTTGTGTGCATTTATGTAAGTATGAAGAGGATTTTGGATCCCCAGGAACTGATAGTTATTAGCTGTGATGTGGGTGCTGGGAACCGAACCCAGGTCCTCTGCGAGAACAGCCAGTGCTCTTAACCCCTGAGCCATCTCTCCAGTCCCTAAAATAGTATTTTTATTTTATTTAGTTTTGAGACAGGGTCTTGATTTTTCTATTGCTTCCTCTCAGCAATTCCCCATTTTATTTTATCTTAGGTCTCCATCTCTCACCTAGCTAGATAACTGATATTCCTTCTTGTAGCTCTGTAGAGTGAGATCTGTGCATCGTGAGTGGTATAGTTAGAGGCAAAGGAGTCATGAAAATCAGTTTCATTGGCCCAATTCAATGGGCTCCTATGGTAGACCCACTTCTATTACATGCTTCTTCCCTTCCAGGCCTGTTCCATCCATTTACCTTATACAAATGGGGCAGTCATGAAAATAAAGTTTACAGAAGTTTTTGGTCTTTTTTTTTTTTTGAGACAGGGTCTCCCTCTAGCCCCAGCTGTCCTAGAACTCACTATGTAGACCTCACTGGCCTTGAACTCACAGAGATCCACCTGCCTCTGCCTCCCAAGTACTGGGACTAAAGGCATACACCACCACACCTGGCCATATTTGTAATATGATCCCAACGATGCTGGGAAAGATCTCTGTCCACAAAATAGTTCTCTTACTGATTGTGATACTGGGGTGCTGCTAATATACAGAAACACTTTCATTCTGTGATTAATATGCAGGATGAGCATTTCCATTAGGAGGGCATTGCCTTGCCAAATTTATGCTAACCTGTGAGTTTGAGCATGACACTGATGGGAAGTGAGAGAAATGACATTCAGTGATGTGTTGTGATTTGGGAGTTAACAAGATAGTAAAGATCTGAGAGCCAGAAGGATGGGCTTTTGGCCTTTAGCTAAGATCAAATGTAGAATCTGAGAGCAAGAAGGAGATTGAGGTCCTAAAAGCAAATCCATTAACTTATCTCATAAATATTATGAAGCATCAATGCCATGCCCTGACCTCCTCAGAGGACACATGCATCTTGGACACATTCTTTGTACATGGTGATTCCTTGACTCATTCAACGCCATGGTCCTGATATGACATACTACCAGGTGGGTTTTGGTGTTTTGCCTCGGGTCTACATACAGCTAGAACTACAGCTCTGCTATCCTCCAGTGGGACCTCATATCATGTCCCTTTAGTTTTAATTCCTAAGAACATCATTGGTCTTTTCCCAAGTATTTCAGGGCCCCCTATTGATGATTTCCCTCCTCCCCTTTACCAACTCACCCATGTGAACTTCCAGTTGCACCGGGTCACTGAGCAGGGAGAGGCCTGTCCGGCATCTGTACTCGCCGCTGTTGCTGACTCTGGAATTTTTGATGAAGTAGATGGAGTCCTTGTGTGAGATGAGGCTTCCATTATAGAACCATTCGGTAGAATTGTCCCCAGGAGGATAGGCACCCTGGCACCTGAGGGTCACATTATCTTCCTGGAGCACCCTGACCCATTCAGGATCTAGGATCACCACAGCTTTTTGGCGATCTGCTGAGGAACCAAGAGAATCTGGAGCGAGGACAGACAGATGAGTGGGCCCTACACTGACATTCCCAGAGTAATGCAAAGCCAGAGGGAGAAAACCCACAGTGCTCTTAGTGACTCATGGTTAGAGCATCTTGGCTACGAAGCACTTGGCCCCCATGTTTGATCTTCTCTGTAGCTGGGGAAAAAATAGCCAGAGATGCATAGCACCAAGCCCACTGTGTTGGGGGATTGCTCTGATCCACCCTACACCCATGCAATGATCCTTTCCCAACTTCCTGTGGCCATGACATGCATGTGTACCTCACTTGATCGATCTAAGACCGTGAAGCAAACTTACCAGCTCGGACACCAGAGGAAACTGCAAGGAAAAAAAAGGCATGAGTCAGATGTTGAGTAGAGTGACCAGAGGGTAGTGATCTAAAACTCCCTCCAACCTCTGTTCTGGGATTGTAGTGTTTTCCAGAATCGAGGTATTTATGGTGGATCCATCTCCTGCTGTCTCCTTCTCACCTCTAGGGCCTCCTGTCTTACTGGATACACAAATACTTAATTTTTGACATTGTTCCCTTACTCCTTGTTTCATATTCAAACTATCAAGTTAAAAGTAAGGATTGGATTTCCCTAAATCAAGCCACAGAAATCACTTTAAACAAACCTTACCTGGAAAGACTGAGAGACAGACCTTAGGAACCTAGTTCTTGCTCTTTGGTTTATACTTAGGGAAATGGAGACCCAGGGGGTGAACTTGCAGTCCTTGTTCCTTCTTAGTGATGCACAAATCAGGGCCAGTGTGCTGCCTATCTCTAGCCCCCCAGATAGTTTGTCTTAAGAGATAAATCCTAGACCATAGATATACTGAAGGCTCCCATCCCTTAGTGGGGGTCCCATCCCTGACCTGAAAAGCGGGGTCTCTGCTGAACACAGGGCATCATAAGCTTTATCCTCATTGACTTACCTAGAAGTAGCAGAGCTGTTGGTAGTACCAGCTGCCACATGCTGCTGCTGTACTGGAGACAAGAAGTCACCACAGATATCCGGAACTCTTAAGGGGCCTAGCTGACTACAAGAGAGGAAGTAAATAGCCTTTCCCCCAACCCCCCAGGTTCCTTTTCCCGGAACATCATCTGATTCCTGAATGTGAACTCTGACAAGTGAGCCTTGTGGAAGGTCAGAAATAGAGGGGAGAGAAGCTGGAGGAGACACCAAAGGGAATTTCCCACTTGTTCCACAGGCTGAGGTCATAGCTGAGCACCTGGGGACACACACAGAATCTATCGGTCTCAGGATCTCCCAGGTTTGGATCCACCTAGTGCCAAGAATGGGACAGCATAACCTGTTGATGGTCCTCAAGAGAGAGGGCCATGCCCTTGGCTCTATCTTAGAATTTAGCACTCTCCTGCCTGGCCTAGATCTATCTACCTCCAGTCAAGGATCTGACTACAAAAAGAAAGCAGTAATTTAAATTGTCAAGCCACTGAAATGTATCTTTTCTCAATTTTGCCTCTACTGATTTTTTTTTCAAAATTCAAAATGTACATGCTCCTGGGATATGTAATCCACAGAAGCTATAAACTTCTTAGTGTGAATTTGATCAATAAATTTTACTTCATTTTTTTTTTTTGTTTGCTAGAAGAAACCCAGGCAGGAGGAATGGATTCTGAGAGGAGGAGACACCCACCAGTAAAAGGCTGAAAGGATCATAGAAACTGGGAGTGCAAGACAGTGACAAAAACTCCTTACATTTCCCCCTCTGTATGATTCCATTGATTATATAAAATGTAACCGGGCATGGTGGCTCACACCTTTAGTCTCAGCACTGAAGATGTAGAGGCAGGTGGTGGATCTCTGTGAGTTCAAAGTCAGCCTTGAATATATGTAGTGAGTTCCAGACCAACAGGGCTACACAGTGAGACCCTGTCTCAAAAATAAGTAAATAGGGCCTGGAGAGATGGCTCAGTGGTTAAGAGCATTGGCTGCTCCTGCAGAGAACCTGGGTTCAGTTCCCAGCACCCACATGGTGGCTAACAATCATCTGTAACTCCAGGTCCAGGGGATCTGATGCCCTATGCTATACTCTGTGGGCATTGCATGACAGTTACATACATGGAGGCAAAATACTCATACACATAAAGTAGAAATAAATAATATTTGAATAATTCAAGAACATGCTCCTTGGGTGGGACCTGGGTGACACTGACACGGTTAGACCCACAAGAAAGTTAGAATTATTTGTAAATATGGGGCTGTCATGGTGCCCTGTCTGGGAAATGGCATAGAAAGTTAAAACTGGCCAGCAGCCCATGCTGCAGGGGATGGCCTCAATACCCATTTGCACATGGGCGGCTCTAATTAGACTCAGTGGGTTATAAAGGGAGAGAGAAAAGAGAAAAGGATATGAAGTTAGGGTATATGAGAGAAATTGGAACTCAGGAGGGATGTGGAATCAATCAAAATATATTGAATATGTGTGTGAAATTCTCAAAGAATAGATAAAAAAATTTAAAAAAATCTGTCAGCTTACCAAGTGCACTTGCTTCTGTGGCAAAACCAAGATGAAGTCATGAGCTGTAGGGGCCTGGCAGGATGGTTTCTGCATGAAGCAGCAGCTACTGGGACCTAGCCCCTCAATATCATTTTGCTGTCACAGCTAAGTCCACTAAGAGAAGACTGAAGGACATAGATGCTCCACTATTTGATACATCTCTGTCTTTTTATGACCTCTCTTAGTGGATTTCCCTTCCTTGCTGAGCATCAAAGGACTTCAGAGGTTGCAATCCCTGGCTACCTGGCTCTGTATTGCACTTGTGAGGAGGCAGATCACGCTGGTGGCAGAAGTGTGTGGCAGAGGAATGTACTCTCATGGCACCAATAAACAGAAGCCAGGGCTAGGAGCTCTACCTTCACTCCAGGGTGGCTAAGGCTGTGCTTGCCACAGTTGCTCAGGGTAGCTCTACGCTTAGTGATTCACTGGGCCTGGGTTGGTCTACCGGTAATGGCCAGAGTCTAGGGCTCCTTACCAGAAAAAGTGAGATGGGGAAGCAGGAAGTGGTAATATTGGTAATGTCTTTTCCTTTCTGCCTCCTGACCAACAAATTCATACACCAGCCCTCCCACAACCTCTACTTAACAAAGTGTTTAACTGTCACACCAGTCTAAGACCCAGACAAATAAATGTCAAATGACCTTATTTGGTAGTGCTGCTCCCCCAGTGGGTTCCTAGACATCTGAGCAGTTCTCATCTAGTTTGGGTGAGCAGCAGATAGGTAAGGGCAAGCCATGCTTAGCAGGGGTGGAGTGCAGGCAGGGGCTGCCATAGAAGTCTGCTGATCACTGCTTTGGCCTAATGCCTTTCCACTCCTGAATCATAAAAACCACTTCTAAGGTTTTAATTTGTTTTGTTTTGCTCTTGGGTGGAGCCAGTTGATTCTTGCCCATTGCCATCCACCCACTCTTACAAATGTTCTTGCAGCAGCCCCTCCTCCACAGGCCCATGGTTCAAATGTCTGATAAAGGTAGACCATAGGCATGATCCAGATAGCCATTCAATGCTTCTCAACTGATTCAGTGACATTGGGCAAAATACAGACAAGTATCTGGAAGCATCAAACTCCTTACCATAGTGGTCTGGAAGCTTGTCTGGGAAACCTAAAATGGAAAGTGTACCTACAGGCTTATAGATGGCCTTTGAGGTAAAGGGTAGGTATCCCCAGGCACTTTCTGTCCTTCAGGTTCCCAATGGCTTTCTGCCATCTAACTTGTGATACAAGGCATTCACTCTAGTTTTCCTTCTTTGAAGTAGGTGGCTTGATCATGTGCAGGTCTAGTGCATGTTATCCCAGCCACTGTGAGTTCATATGTGCAATGACACTGTCATGTTCTACCATGTTTCACTACAAATGTCTATTCCCTCTGGCTCTTACAATCTTTCCACCCCTTCTTCTGTGATGATCCCTAGGCCATGGAGGGAGAGGGTCTGATATAGATATAGTAACTTCCTTACTTAGTGTTGGATTTACCTACATATTCCTTCATCTCCTGCCTCCAGCTAGAAGGAAAGGTATTCCATATTCAGGTCAGAATCAATTCCCTACCCATATTCTATTGCAACCTTTTAAAAATCCACACTTGAGTCATCAAATACTCCCTCCCTGAAAGGTGTCCCACTTCTTTCCTCTACTAGCTTCTTTGCAAAGAACCATAACCTAGCTCAAGTCTTTCACTTAAGCCAAACAAAATCTCCCTTTCTTTCCTTGATTCCCTCTAGTTACCACCCGTCCTTATTCCTTCCTCCTGTGTCATTTATAGCTCTTGGTTTTAAGAAACTAAATCAGAATCTGGCTATACTAAGTAAAGAATACAACTGTGGGATGACACAGGAAACAAAACAGCTCATCCCACTGCTTTGATATCTGGGACTCAATCTTAGAGATTATCTTTGTTAACCACATGAGTTAACAAAGGCCATTTATTCAGGATTCAGCATCCCAGAAGAGACTGTACTGTGCCTAGCCTAGATCACTTACCTGCCCTCTGTCTGTATCAGTTTGCTAAAGCTGCTTTAACAAAGTTAAGTAGGTTGTTTTAAACAGTAGAGATGTGTTTTCTCACAGGTCTGGAGATCAAGGATGTGTTTTCTCACAGGTGTCACAAATCAAAGTATTAACAGGGTTTCATCTGAGGCTTCTCCTTGGTTTGCAGATGGCTGTCTTCCCCACTATGTCCTTGAATCTCTTCATATGTCATATTGTATTAGGACCCATCTTAATGACTTCATTTTAATTTAATTGCCTCTTTAAAGCCTTGTTTCCAAATAGGTACACTGAGGTGCAAGAAGCTCAACACATGAACTTTGATGCTGTGAATTTGGGATAGATACAATTTAGCCCATAACATTGCCCCAAAGTGGGACAAATGAGGACCTGGCCATTTTGGTTCCTGTAGTAGAAAGCAGTAACTACTTTTTGTTAAGACTCTTCACAGTCGAGCTTCCCCAAAGGAGAATGTGATATTAACAGAAAGGGAGGGAAGTGGGTCTAGACAGTAAGGGAAAAATGTTTACCATTCCTTCATAATAGAGATTCTAAAAAGGAGTAGGAATCTATTAAAAGCCTTCCACCCCCTTTTAGTCTTCATCCAAAGCTATCAAGTTTCTATTCTTCAACTCCAACCTCTGAAATTATTTAGACCTGGGCCATTACTAGTTTCCTGATTGCACCACTCAGGAGAAGTCCTTATGCCCTTTTCAACTGTATTCAATATTGGTGACCACTCCCTCTTTGATGATCTTTCTAGATCCTCTTTTTTGGCTTCTCCTGCCCAGTGTCCTTTATCAGTTGTCCTTCCTTCCTGCACAGTATGAAAATTTGTGTGCTGTTTCTATCATTAGTTCGCTTCTTCTCAACCCCTCCTTTTCCCTCACTGTTCCCCTTTTTCTTAACTGATAGTCTTTACAGTTGAATATAGAAATATTTTCATACTTTATTAGAAGTCTTCTTTTCTCCCCTAATACTGGGGGTGTTAATGTGCTACCAAGCATTATATAGCTGAGCCATATCCCCATGCATGCTTTATCTGTACCTAGGATCTCTGGAGGAGTCTGCATGGAGCTTCTTAAATTAGAGGGAAAAGAATGTGCATATTTGCATGTTTTCTTGGGAGAGTACTTAAGCTTTTATCTAAAATTTAGAAGACTGATCACATGTTGCCTCTTAAATGATATCTTTGGCCCCAATCTGTCTTTTGTGGTTCAGGACCTATGTCTAACTGATTTCCTGGCATCTTCACCTGAAATCTCCACAACTACCTCACAGTTGCTGAGAACATTTTCTCCCCTTCCCAGAGCGTCTCCTCTTGTATTTCTTCTGTCCCTGAAAGGTGCTACCATCATCCTGATCAGAAAGTTCCTCCCCAGACCCTCATTTCCCATTGCCTCTTATGGACAATATTTCTCACTCAAGTCCCATCCATTCTACCTTCTTAACACCTCTCTAAGATACTGTCACTGCATTTCCACATTTAAACAGAGGATCTCCTAGGTTTCAACTAGATTTGAACTAGATTGTTTGAACTAGATTGTTCAAGTAGCCTTCTGACTTTCCCTCTGTTTTTAAATCTCTGTGCCCCGTAATCCACTTCTAGGCTATTAGAGTATTTTTATTTTTGTTTACTTTTTTTTTTTGGTCTTTTTGGGACTGGGTCTACCTATAGCCCCAGCTGGCCTGGAACTCACTCTATAGACTAGACTGTCCTGCCTCTGCTTCCTGAGTGCAGGAATTGTGAGGACATACCTGTCACATTCAGCTTTCAGAGTAATTTTTATAAAACATAAAATGTATCATCATGTTACTCTGTGGCTGAGACTCATTAGTTCCTCATAGCTCTCGGAGTAAAGTACATACTGTTCACCTAGAGAACCCTTTGTGATTGTTTGACCAGTGTTCATTGAGTGCCTACCAGATGTCAGACTCTAGACTGAATGTTGGGGATAAAATTGTTAAACAAAATGAGCAAATTCCCTCAAAGGCCTTATAGTCCACAATATGATGAGATGCAGTATTGAAGCACAAGCACCTAAAAGAGTGTCAGAGGGCAGGTGTGTCACAACTGTTACCGTTTGAACCTGAAGTATCCCCCACAGACAGGTATTTGAATATTTGGTCCCTAGCTGGTAGCTCTGGTTTTAGAGGTTGTGGAACCTTTAGGAAGTGAGGTCTGGGAAGGAAGATGGAGGAAGTGGGTCACTGGGGGGGGGCTTGAGGTTTATAGTCTGACACTCTTGCATTCATTCTCTCTCTCTCTCTTTCGCTCTCTCTCCCATCCCTCCCTCCCTTTCTCCCTCCCTCCCTCCTTCCCTTTCTCCTTCTTGCCCACAAAGCTCTGAGCAGGTGAGGGGCCCCGGGTGAGGGGTGCACACTCCCACTTCCATGTCCCACCATACATTCCTCACCATGATCAACTATATCCCCTGATGATGGGATGATAAATGATTAGTCTCCGTAATCTCAGGAACTTGTGCGGTGCCTGGCATTTCATTACTGAAGGAAAGAAAGAGTGAGAAGAAGTGAACAGTGAGGAGAGGGAACTCTAGAAGAGAGGGAAAAGGAGACAGAGAGTGGAGGGAGAGGAAGAGAGAAAACCAAAGGTAAATGTTATAGGACAGAGTTCGTAAAAAAATCACCAACACCACTTTAAGAAAAGTAGCAAGGTAAATTTTAATTTTCGACTGGCCGGGCTGTCTATCTCGGGAGTAGAAGCAGGTTTTAAACAACCAAGTCTCCTTTAAAAGTTTAGAGATGTTTTACTTAGAATTTGATATCTAGTAAATTATTTAATAATAGTTCTCTTAGTATTAAGCATGTCTATACATTTATAATGGTCTCATATAATAAATACTATGGTTAGACATAATGTCATGACAAACCAGTTTTAAAACCAAGACTGATTTTTCTTGTTCCAAGGGAGAAAAGCACAGAGTCATATCTGAGCCAGGAGAGTTTCCAAGGATGAAAAGCATCCCTCCCCAAACAGACCATATCTGCCTGCATACAGAGTGGTGCTGCAGGAAACAGAGGGAAAAGGACAAGGCTGAAAGGATGAGATAGGAAGACCAGTCCCAGAAGTTATTTCCAGCAATGAAGATGAGTTAACATATTAGATCAAACCTATAACCAACAGTTTAATTTTCTCAAACCATTTTCAAGTCTTTAGAGGTCTGAAAGCAAAATAAACCAGACCAAGAATGTCAAACCCAAAATACTTCCAAAGCAAGCAAACCAAAGAGATATTATGAAAGCAAACCCAAACCAAAAGGTATGCAATAAATAAGGACCTTAAACAACCAGTTCAACCAACAAAATAAAAATATTTAGGGTTTTTGATGGAAACATATGAAGACAATAATCATAGACATACATGACAGAATTACTTGAGATCTCAGTACAGGCGCCCATGACAAACACAAGACCAAAACACAGAACAAGACAAGCACAGACAAATAACATCAACCAGATTGCCATCAAATCCAGGTCCCAAAAGACAAGCTTTTGGGCTCATGGCCAGGT